AGAAATATCACTGTACCTATAGATAAAAACTCTCGTTAAATGTAAATTAATCATTTTATGAATTTGACAATTAAAACAATTTGTATGACGTAAAACTAGGCGTTAAAAAAGAGTGGCAGGGAGTTTCTTGCCAGTTCTTCTTGTCTGCTCTACGCCCTTGAATTGCGAACTGGTAGTAAGTGTTAATTCAGAATAAATTTAACATCTTTTCTGTTGACGTTCATAAGTGTACTTGGTTACCTAAATGAATAAAGTTATTTTAAGTTAGCGTCACATTATATTCAATATTATCTTTTCAATATATGAAACAGACGGTAATCATTACACGTACTGTGTACATAAAAATTTATACAGAAAATCACGTCATTCCACGATATTTATCGCGCACAAGGATATGATTGTGGCGACGATTATGCAAGGATTTGGCTCTCAGCCAGGCCTAATAATGTCTCCTGACTAATCCTTATGAAGTATTCCTTTACATCTATATATGGAAGATAAGTATTTAATATTGATTTTGTATGAATTGTTAGAAAATTTCATTATTAACTAGTGATAAAAAGTGTTAAATTATGCTGTGTATGCGCCATTCAAATTTTGTTTCAGTTCGCTGAAGCCTGTTTAAAGGGCTAAATAGGCCCGTATCAGCTCCTTCCTGGATTCATCAAAGATCTACAGAACTCCAACATCAACGATGGTCGCGAAGCACGGACTTCAGACATTCCAAAATGGCTCTGATAAAGTGAATTCTAAGCCTCAACAGAACTAATCTGAAAACAATAGTTCCCTACCCCTAGCAGTTTTAGTCTAGTGGCTTCAGCGTGCGACTCTCATCCCTGAGAACGTAGGATCGATCCCCGGCTGTACATCAATTGACTTTCTTTCTATGTGCGCATTTAACACAGGCGAAGGAAAACATCGTGAGGAAACTGGCTTGCCTTAGACCCAAAAAGTCGACAGCGTGTGTCAAGGCTGATCATCTACTTGCATATTAGATTGACAAATGATCATGAAACAGATACAGAAATCTGAGGCCCAGACCTAAAAAGGTTGTAGCGCTACTGATTTATTTTATTTAGTTATAGGCTAAAGATAACCTATAGCAAAAGAAATCATTGGGTTAAATTCACAGGCTACACCAGTAGGGTAACGAATCTTAGTAGGTACCTTAGGAAATCCAGCAACAATTCAGTGAAGCGAAAAATTATGTGTTCATTAACAAATCACATTAATCATTTGCTATTCTGCATATTCAGTTGTATTCTAATTATTATGGTAATTCTATTTCGTAACTATTACGACTTTACATCTACACATATTACAAGCAATTATGTATATAAATGTTAGAACCGAGGTTCGAACCCTGGTCACCACTTCATTGATTATGCGCAATAACTCTCTTTTAAATGAGATAACTCTTACCGTACCTTAATCTTAGATTCGAAACCGAGCTCTTTGTTCTTTTCACTTTACATATAAATGTAAAATTGTGATTGTCAAATAATAAACAAATAATTTGCAATATAATAATATTGCGGATATAAATTGAGATGTAAGCTTTCCTATCTTTTAAGTTAGATCGAACTGCACACGGTGTGAAAATTTCACTGAAATCGGTTTAAAGTAGTTTGGGAGTCCATAGGAGACAAACAACGTGACGCGTAATTTATATATATTAAGTTCTGGGTTGCGATGATGATGTTCATGTTTAATTTCATAACCACAGGTCGGGATTTAGAGAAAGGGGACTGGTGCTACAATACAGGGACACAAAAATGGGGCCCAAAATAGAGACTTCGGAAAAAACTCGAATTCCGAGTAATAAACAACTTTTCCTTCGCTATTGTTTTTGAGTTTTTAACTTTACAGTACTTTATACAAAAAATATTATATTTTTATTTCAAATCAAATCAAATCAAAATACGTTTATTCAATTTAGATGCTTCTTAGAGCATGCTTATGATTCTTATGAATGTCAACAACGTTTACAAAATTCACGAAAGAGCAAGACTACGCCATCCGTTCGCAAAACTACCAGGAGGCCTTGTTCTGAGAAGAACGGGCAAGAAACTCAGCAAGTTTGCCCTCCCTTTACATTACAATTATTCAAAGGAAAATGTCATAAACATAATTTAATATCAACACATCTACGATCTTGACTTGAAAATAATTGTTCCTCCATTACTTTGTTGCCCCGAGGCCTCCAAACATCTAAATCCGGCCCTGCATAACCAAGTAAGGAATGTAACAATAGATTACCATAATCCATAATACTGACCGTATATGACACTCCTGATTCAGCTCAAATGACGAATTGTTTTACTAAGAACCTACTTGTTGCTTTTTTAATTTATATTACACAGTGACGATGTTACATACATATGTAGATCTTCTCTCCCTAATAAAGATGAAGCATAAAAGATTTGTCATTCTCTACACTACTACTTCTTCAGAAGTTTTACTCAGAACTAGGCACTGTATCGCAAAGTGCCATAGTTGATCAAAGATTTTAAAAAATACACGTTGATTTAATAACTCCTTTTTGGAGGTTATTTTGTCGACTCCAAATTAGACCTTAGGTTATGTGAGACGAAAATTACGTAACATTACTTATTAGATTTTATTGTCGTAATAATTACTAGTGGACCATAGATTGACGATAATGATAGTTTTCTATCAATAAATGTCTTAGAAAGTGAATCAAATACGTATTAACTACATGTCTTCAATTGAATGAACACAGGAAATATGAGCGAGTGAAATTATTGGTTTCGCGTGTACATTTAGGTATTGGGAATGTTTACATTGTTTATGTTTCAGTCTTCCTGTCATAAAATTTATATGTAATTGTTTTACTGCACTTCACTTTCTAATTACAATTTTAGATTTTAAAAGCCACTTTCATTAAAAATCTTATGTATTTCCGTAATCATTTGATGACAAATTAAATATTTATCAAAAATATCCGGAAAAGTCTTATTAAAACGACAATAAGTAGATTCTTAAATTTTGGAAACCCAATAGGTAATATGTTATTGCAATTAATAATGATATGAAATGCTTAAAAAGAAAAACCGGATATCAATTGGATTACTAAAGGACAATTTCGATTCTCCGATCTCTATCACAAATAGAAAAACAGTTTCGTAATTGTATTACCGCAGACGTATAAAATTAATGTTTATCTGGGGGTTCAATATGACGAAAGGCCAAATCTGCAGGGGTAGACTAACTGGGGTGCAACTTGCAAGCATGCCAGACGATAAAACTACCAAACATTTCGCTTAAATATTAAAATTACTGTTTAAAAAATTACCTTATACAACAATGATGTTTTTCATACCTTATGAAAAATCTGCTCGTGCCGGCCGGTATCCTAAAACACAATGTCACGACACTAAAATCGATGGAGCACACACATTTTAATTTAACACAATTAGCAAATCAACAGCTGTTGTTTTTATGGGACGTCAAATGTCCTTGAGGAACGCAGTACGCCATGTCGTTTTTAGGACGGGCGCGTGGCGACTGCGCTAAGCCTCCCCTCGTGCGGCGCATGCGTGCGTTACCCCTGTCTCCCGTCTCCTACCCGCGCCTTCCGAAGCGCTTCCTACTTCCGGATTTATGTGATTGTGTTATTAGTTATATTGTGTTAAATCATAATTTATAATTTGTATTACCAAAGAAAATTCTTGTGCCAACAAAATATAATAAACGTAATTACTAATTCCAATAATATAAGTTAATAATTATATGATAATATCACATAAAATTAGGTACTATAAGTTTACTACGTATTATTAGTATTATATCAATGTACCCCGGTTTTTCTTTTACTATAGTTTTTTAGAAAAAATACCATTTCAAGAACTCGTAACGATCATTGCAGTTGCTAAAAAAATCGTAAATTTGTAAGCGACTTAAGCAAATACCTATATTAATACAAGCTTATAATTATTGTAGTCTCATACTTGTACTCGTACTTGAAGTTTAAAATGAGTTTAATTATTGTTTTCCGACAAAACTCATTGAAAATCGAATTTAATCAAAAGATATTATGCTTCTATTAAATATGACAGCCATTGAGCTTTAGAACAATACCCCATCACATATTGTGAAGTAGTATTATTTGGAGGGCTTAATTATGGTAAACAATAGATGTTTATAAAAGACAATATGTTTGGGTACTCATAAAAATAGGGTCGTCCTACGCTGAATTGGGGCATTATGGTTATTTTAAAAATATTCAACAAATCTTGGTATGGAGTTCTATCTACACAAATTTTGATTACTTTCATCATTATTATGTAAGGCTGTAAGCTGGATATCACAAACTGTTCTGATAAAGAAAACGCAGACAGGTGTGTCGAAAGCAAAATCGCTTGCAAACTTTATAATACAAAATATAAGATTTTTTTCGCGTAAAAGATAACACCAGGAACATAAAGGTATTTAAGAAAAAATAACAGTTTTCAATAATATATGAATATAATATACCTACTTATTACTTATCTTCCCTTTCGCATTATTATTCGCCTTCTGGCCAAACTAAAGCTATTAATTTAGACTTATGTTTCATTTTTTAAAGTTAAATCCAAGTTATCCTTGGAGCAGCCTGCCAAATTCTTTTAAACGATTAAGCGTAATATGTAAATTTTTTATAAAAAGTTCTAACTTTTTGATAAATTCATTTGTCAATGACGTTGCGTGTCGACTCACGACTGTCGTCTGTCATATGCAATAATTGTAAACATCTAATTGAACTGTGCCTGTGGTGAACTTAATAAACGCCAAACTGTTTTAAAGCTGGTTTATAGATCTAGGTTGAATCTGAAAAATTAAATATTAATTTAATTAAGACAAATAAAATTATAAACGGTGGAACCTTTAAAAAAGTTTACTGTTTTATATACTTATAAAATTAATCATAGTTATTAAAATTGCAAATTATCCATTAACAGTACAATATGTTTGTATAAAATAAAGATATTTTAATAAATATGCCGGAAGATACAAAGACGCAGTAAGTACCTTTTGTTACCTAAATAACAAGTTTATTAATATACCTGAATGTACCAGTTAAATTTTGTTTCAGGGGTAAAAATAAAAATGGTCCAAAAGAGCAACGTAAACGTCGAGGCCGACAATCTGGTCCTGAAATTAAGCAAGAAAAAGTATCTGAGACAGCAAAACCTTCAACTAAATGTATAGTGAAAATTTATTATGAATATACTGTTAAAATATGAAGGGCCCATCTTACAAAACCGGCCCTATATGTAACTAAATCTAATATCAAATTATTGATTACAACAGTTAAGGTTTCAAGCTTAAAATATAATTGGATTAGTCATTTTAAGCTTTTCACCACAAGCCAGATGTACACAAATATTCTACCAGGCCAAGCTTAGCATTTTTATATCAGTAGTTAATAAATAAAAATAAATGGTATTAGGCATTTCAAAAATATGTTTAAACACATTTTGCAGTGTTCGAACTTAACAAACAGGGTAAAGCACTCTTTACTACACAAAATATTAACCAATTTAAGCACCTTAACTCTCTCTTCAATTGCAAACAGTTCTTTCAATTCTACCAAAAAATACTTGCAGCTCCGGAGAAATCTGAAAAGCCTACATATGTACCACCCCCTCCAGAATTTTACAAGAATCTAAAAAAAGAAACTGATGAAATACTCAAAATTACGGAGGAAGCAAACTCAAAGTATAAAAAGAAAGAAATACTGAGTAATTGGGCTAAGTATGAGATGCCCATAGAGAGTTATGAAGAAATTGATGAACAAGAGAACTTGGGTGCTGATTATGAAGTAAGTTTTTTTTTAATATAACTGGAAGGAACCTAAACCAATGTACCTTGGCACAATTCTGTGTGTGTTATTATAAGACAGTTATGTAGCCTTGATTTACATAACTGTTGCATTTTAAAATCATACCTAGTTCCCAGTGTTTTGTTAATAATAAAATATTTTTCAGACCTTAGCCAACACGCCATTGTCTATTGGAGGTCATTTTCAATTTAAACATGAAAAATCATGGGATGAAAACAGTGGACCATCTCCTTATGATAAGTATTTTGATATCAATATGGAGAACTTATATACAGCCCTATCAAGCATACCATTTTTTGAAAGAAATGATATAGATCAATCTATCTTTAGTGAAACAGACATTCAAAATATGACCCATCGTGCAATGAAGTTTAAACAAAAGTACTACAATGATAAGAAATATATGACACCAGAGATGGAGGCTCAAGAAAAAATACTAAATAAATTGACTATACATGATGACACTAAGTATGTAGAGGCAACTAATGATAAAGAAATTGATGTTCTACCTGAAATTAATTCAGAAAATAAAGAAGTTGGTATTATAGCTAATTCTGATAACATTAAAATACAAGAACCTAATACTACATTACAAAGTGAAAATGATATCAATGAACCTAGTGAAATTACTGAACCACACATTTGGAAAGAAAAAGACAATTTGAAACATGTATTAGATGTGGAAGATAATATTAAAGTACCAATTAAAAACAATATAGAGGTTGAACAGTTGTTTGAAAGTAAAGGTATGTTTTTTATATAATTTTCGGGACTACTACTGTGATGACTAAGGGCGAGTACACATTAGGCGCTCGGCGTTGCGTTAGGCGCACGTTATTTTGTGATAGATTGATTTTGAAACTTGTGTTTCAAAATCAATCTATCACAAAATAATGGTTAATAGGCACACTAAAGCTTATGCTTCTAAATTCACAAACTTCTAACTGATAGATGAAGGTTTGGATAGGCCAATGTGGACAAAATAATCAAATATTATTGATAGGTTATGGTATATTTAATTAAATTTTTAAAATTGATGATTATGTGATAAAACTAAAGTTTTTCCTTAATAAACCAAAGATTTCTTTTATTATTCCAGTCACTGCTTTGAAACCAAAGAATCCTGTCATAGAATCGCCTGAAGATCTTGAAAAATGGCTTGATGACTTCTTAGATGGATAATTTCGTCATGCCTATATGTACTAATTATGTTCAATCAGTTATTAAAAATATTTATTCTACTAAAAATAATTACTATAACACCAATATTGCTATTACCTGTAGATAATATGTAGGTACCTATATATAGTTTAAGTATTTCAGTATTATATTTTTATTTTACTCTGTCATCTGTGTAGCTTAGTGGCAGTGATATCCAGGGTTTGCTAAATTCTATGTTGGTTAGCTTAAAAAGCTTAATGAAAATCAATGCAAACATTTAACTGATTTTGGGGTAGTGATAGGGTGTAATTTATCAAAATAGAAAGTAAAAAAAAAACAATATATTAAAATAATTATTGAATATGTCAGACACTAACATTTGGAATGTTGTCTTGGCTGTATGGAAGTAAAAAACTTTTAATCAAACATGGATTTTTGAAGGATTATGAGTTTTCAATATTTTAGTACATTTTAAAAGTAATATATTTTATATTTATTACACATGTTAATAACAAAAATAAACTTAAGTTATTGATGCAAAATATGGTTGTGACAAAATTGATTTGTCCGCACGCAATATAGCCCGTGTTGTGACTAGATTACGGCGCTTTCGTGATTCATGTTGCATTAAAACAAAAGCTATACAAGTGATATAATAATAAATTTCAGGAAAAAATAGTATTAATATTAAAACGAATTAAGCAAAAAAATCGTGTAAGACCTTAGACGTGAGTATATATAAGTACTTATGCAAATTTGTGTGTGCAAGAGTATAAGAGTATATTTTTTGCCGCGCACCACCACTATGTGGAATCAGCTGCCCACTGAAGTATTTCCGAACCAATTCGACTTAGGGTCCTTCAAGAAAAGAGCGTACCAATTCTTAAAAGGCCGGCAACGCACTCGCGAGCCCTCTGGCATTGAGAGTGTCCATGGGCGGCGGTGTCACTTAACATCAGGTGAGCCTCCTGCCCGTTTGCCCCCCGTTCTATAAAAAAATATAAAAAATATTTGAGCGTGTGGCTGAGGTGTTACAACTTTATAAGCGTTAGTGCTCTAGGTTAATTTTTGCAACTTGAATCATGCCATGTAGGTAGTAAGGCTTCGTTTAAAGTAGAGGTGATTTAATAAAAACAAAGATTAATCATTAAAGTAGTTTATTTTTATTACATTTAAACAGTATTGTGTAAAATCTCAATTTACACTTATATTTTTTAAACTTTGTTAGTGGTCCAGTTTGTACTGATAATTTAAAAACATAAATTGAAGTGGCTGTTGCAATATTATAGCAATCTTAAATTTTAGTATATTTCACAATTACTATTACTTAGCAGTACGATTTTTTCGTCTAAGGGGAACTTTTGGAGTAACCAGGTACCAGCTTAGGTCGTTTTATTTATAGAAACTAAAAATTAAATATCCATCTGGTGGACATAGTTTTCTCGTCCCCGATGTTCTTTAGCAACTATCGTGAAGTGTATCAAAATTAAAAAATATTGTAATTGGTTAATTCCAACGCTGTAATTAAGGCGCAAATATCCATCTCTGTATATTAGATGCAAAAACAAACATACAGTATACAGATAATAACTTCCGGGCTCCGGCCTTAACACATTCTTCTTAAAAATTATTCCAGTCTTTCCTTTGATTCTTCATAGAAGTCCCTATAGAGGTTTTACTTAAGGTCGTCAACTTCACAGCTAACAAAATAAAATTACAATATCTGATGTGAAAGATATCTTAGTTTAATATAAAAAGGCAAATTATATCTACAAGGTATATTTAAGAATTGTATTCAAGCATCTTAACACAATATAGGTAAGTACTTAAATAAGGCAATCTTAAAACAAATGAAGAAAACTACTGTTCTTTTAAATTCACACAAACTTCATGTATTAACCCCTTGATTGACACATTTTCCTTATTTTTAACATTCACAGTGAGTTTGACTTAGGTCGTGAATAATAAAACTTTAATCACACACTAAATTTCTTACATATTTCAATGTTGTTGGTAATATTAGTTACAATAAAAATAAATTAATAGTTGGTAATTAATTAAACACAACACAATATTTACATAATCAATCAATCCTCCATGTATCAGTAAAATAAAAGATTGAACACAGCAAAAAAACAACACTGCAAATAAGAATTGTTTATTATCATATCATATGAAATCTTAATTTGTTTTACAACATTATTAATATCGATAATTATTATAGTTTGAATTTTGATATTGATTACCACCTCTATGGTAATCATCAAAATTTCTTCTAGGAGCTGAATGTGAAGTGTCTGTATGCTTCAAGGTCTTGGCTCTTGCTGCTAGCTGGGAGACAAGTTGCGCAGGCGTCAGATGAGCTATGGAGATGGGCGGGCCGCTGCTGCTGCTGCCACTTGGGTTGAACAATGATTTGGAGCTATACAAGTCTTCTTCAATCACTTGAGTGTGTACCGAGGATGAAAAATATTCAGGATTTATTGATGTACTCATATCACTAAACTTGGTTGATTCACGAATATCACACACTTCACAAACAGGCAATGTTGTCTGTACTGAAGCATCCCTCATGTCTTTCCGCACCTTCTTTGGCTTTGCAACAATCTTTTCCAAAGATAATGCTGAGATGATTGAATCTATGATCTCCTTGTTGCGTTGAACCATCAATGATTGACTACTTTTGGAGAAATGATACTCGACTGCACCCTGCCTTTTGAGAGGGGAGCAAAACTTCTTGACTTCAGGACATTGTGTTGTCAGCTTCTCCTCCTTTTGAGGTTTGATCCTAGTGTTCATGAGCAAACGATTTGGCAGTCCCAATTTACAAAGATTTTCCATTGCTATCCTACAGCGATTCAGCACTGGAAGCATAAAGTTGACATTTTTAGGTACTGATATTGCATTTAGAGAACTTGAACACTTGTTGAACAACTACACACTGGCACACTTAAAACACAAGAACTAGAAATTATAATGTATAATAATAAAAAAACAGAATACACATAATAGAAAAATCAAGTAAAACCCACCAGCAACTCTTTCTTTAGGATCCATGTTAGGTGTAGCACCTGCAACATTAAAACAAATCTGTGTAATCAATTTACTGCCCTTTGAATTGCAATAACTTAGAAATTTGTATATACTGCTATTGGGTTAAGGAAAGTAATGCATATGTATGTATTTTACCAAAATTTCAGCATATGTGTATTACACTTAACAAATATTTTTTTGTTTACCTTTAATTGGTGCTAGTTTTAAATAATCTTCATGTGAAAGTTTTCCATCAGCAACCAACTGTAATAATTAGGTAATATAATTAATACATCTGACAAAGAAAACCAAACAAAAAGGAGAAATAATGTTTACCTTAGCCAAAGCATCACACTGTGTAGCTAAATTTATGTCCAGATTTTGTAAGTTACCAGATGACATTTGAAAAGGTGCAGGAACCATATTAGGTGCTGGCATAGAGTTGGTTGGAGCAGGAACTGGTTGTGGCACGGCTTCAGGAGGGTAGTATGGTTCTGTGTAAGCAGCAAAACTTTCTGGAGGCCGCTGATATGACGTTCCAGTATTTTGCACATATTGCGATGCAGCATATAAATATTGATCATCATGATCCTTAATCTCTTCTCTTCGGGACTGTGAAATAGAACGCGATTTATAACGCTTGTATGGCGATCTTGATCGGCGTTCCCGCCTTAAATCTGGACTCTGATATTTCTTTGGGCTTCGTCGTGGGCTCCGATGTAAAACATGAGGTCGGCGCGAAATATAAATAGGGCTGAGACGACTGTGTCCGCGGTCTCGAAATCCTCGCATTTCTCGGCGTTTTGGCGACCAGTCACGTCGAATCCGCACTGGTGAATCACGATTGTGTCTTGGTGATATCCGACGAAATCTTAGCGGCGAGTCCCTACGATGCCTGGATGGTGAATCTCTACGTTTTCTTAAAGGTGATTCGCGACGATTCCTTGGCGAGTCTTTTCTTCTTTCCACTGCATGCTTCAAGGGGGATGGTGACCGGGGTCGTTTCTCACTCATATGTCTCCTGGTTACTTCTTCAACGAATTTCTTTTTTTCGCTGTTTCTGCTTTCATCAAAATAATCATCCAATTCAGTCCCTGGTGGTCTTATATCATCCATGGATTCTAGATGTTTCGCAAGAAGTTCTTTAACTTTAACTTCCTTGTCTCTCTTTATGGCTTGTTTTGTCTTATTAGGATCCCGACGACTTCCAGGGCGTATGTATTCATTCAACCGTTCTTCTTCATACTCTGTTTCATGTGGACTGTGTTGTTTGCTGCGTGAGTTTTTCCTGGTTTGGTTTGGTATCAGCTCTCGTAAATCATCAACATTGTCAAGAGCCTTTTCATTGATTGTTGGTCGGGAATCCTTAGTGTCATCATTCCAACTATCAATAACTTCCATAAAATCATCTTTGCAAAAGTCATCAAAAAAGTCACTGGGAAGATCTTCCCCCTCAGAAGATTCTTTTCTTTCCTCTTCTTTGGGCATCTCAACATTAAATGTCACCTTCTATAAAAGCATTTCCTTTCAAATGAGAATAATATATGATTGGGTTAGAACTCTACTATAAATTCTAGCAACTTTCTAAACATATTACTAACTTAATAATTATTGTGTGCTTTAATTGAACATACCTTAACAATATGGCACAAGTATAAATTATTTAATTTCATTATTTTTATAACATTTTATGTTCTTAACTGATAGACGTTGTTTACTTTGTGTCATTTTAATAATTCTAACCCAATAACTATTGACTATTGTTTTAATTACCTTGACAAAAAGCCGGTACCTTATTTTCTTTAATATCACAGTTTATATTCTGAAGTTAACACCGGCAATGTTAATCTCCATACCTATAAACGCTGTGCCTATTCATTTAGTTTAAAAAAATTCAGGAGCCCTCAAAGGCAATGATTATAATATTTATTCATTCAGATTTCAGTGTATCAAATATATTACAGCATAATCGAATAATAATCTAGATTAAATAACAGATTCTTTATTCTTTACCTCTTCTTGAAAGTGTTTAGTTTCACTAATCGTAATCACTATAGATGATTTGGATTTTGGAAATAAAACATCTAAATTACAATATATGTGTAATTAATGTGTCAAGCATTAGAACCATAGAGTGTAACTTATAAGTCTATGGAGGGACCACCTGTGGTCCACTAAACAGTAAAGTAGTCTTTGTGAAATGTGAATATAACAAAGTCAATTATAGCAAACTAGAGAATTACCATAATTGATAATATTACACTGAAAGTAGTTGTTTTCTACAAATATGACAATGTTACATTTCTGTTGAAACATAAATATGTTAATTTTTAAGCTGTCTTGTGTTTGACTTTTGACTAGAAACTATCGCCTATTGATTGATAAGTGGCAACACTAAGTTTAACTAAAACTTTAGCCTGGCCTTAAAGGTCTAGATACCAGGCCATAAACTCCAAAAAAATAAACTTTAGTCTTCTGTCTTAGTCTTACTCTATAAACTGTAAACAAGTTTTATTTTTATACATTATACAATATTTGCACAATACAACTATGAACTAAGGTTTGAAACAATCTGATGTGTGATTTCAAGTTTTCACACTACGTGATAGTTGTATACGTTTAATATTTATTTAAATATTGTCGTGTTCGACGCAATTTTTATCCTAGAATCCAGATAAACAACCGCACAGCAGTCAGCACCAACACGCCATGGAGCTGACTCAACGGTTGGAGAGTACACAACAAACTTTTGGAAATACTTCTGAAATACGGTGTCCTGAGCAGGTAAATTTTAAACATAAACAAATTGTTGTTAGCCATCTCAGCCATTAATTAGGAAACTGTGAATGTTATATATATTAGTAGTGATAAAAGTTGGCTTTCTTCGTAACGCGAGTGCCGCTTATTTTTTATTGTTGAAGTGGTTATATCTGAATTCTATGTACAGAAAAATTTAATTGTTGTTTTAAAGAAGGTAAGACTCATTCTGTATTTTAAGTAACATTTTAATCATTACAAGTTCTATCGCAAAAAGGCCAAGGTCAGTGCTTTAAATACTCTTGATTACACAGACTCTTGATTCTCATGTTTGCTAATTTTCTTGTAAAAATTCAGTAATGTATTTATTTTTCAGATTGGTTTCTTAGGAATATGTGGAACTAAGTATCCAGTTGTGAAAGGGCCAAACAAAATAGGTAGAGATCCCCAAACATGCAATATTGTTCTAAATCTAAATGTAAGTACACATACTTATAGTGAAGTTATCATTGTTCTGTAATAAAAAATAAAGTTTTTATTATTCTTATAAACCTGACTGAATTTTAGTTTAGTTTGTTTAAAAGAGATTTTTATTTTAACTATTAAAGACATAATAATAATTTGTATTGAAGACATAATAATATGTTGTAATATTTTAATAGTTTTAATATATTTGTTTGCTAATGTTATTTTTTAATTTACAGTCCATATCCCGTCAACATGCTGTGCTCAATGTTTTAAATAAAAATAATTTCATGCTGATGGACCTTGATTCAGCAAATAAAACAAAAGTGCAAGATGTAAGTTATTTTTTAGATTTATGGACACTTTTTTGAATACACATCATTACATAAAAAGAAAACAAACAGTAAAAGTAAACAATCTAAAAATAAAATCATATAATATTACAATTTTTAATAGATTGTATGTGGGATTCTTACTTTAAAATTAAATCTAGCAATATTTTATAAAAAACCAGACACAACAAAAATAATGTACTTAATTAAGTTGTTTCAAGATAATACATTTAAAAAGATCTGATAAGACATTAAACCATTAAATATACATAAAAAAGAATAATAAACACTTTATTAATTAATTCTTATTCCTTTGTTTCATATATAGTAAGGGCATATATAGAATTACTTAACAGTGTAAACACAAGAATGTTTTTACATTAAAGTCTATCCATAATTAAAAATACAATGATGTAATTAACTTCAAGTCAAATAAAGTCAAGACACAAATCAAGTTTACAATTTGGTGGTTCTGTGCTAGCCAAGAATGAAAAAATATACACTTAATATACAAGCAACAAAAAATACAGCCAACCAACCACGACACAATGCTTTGCATTACCGAAAAAGAGCAACATGAATATAAACACATTTTTATGATTTGTTATTTTTTAGAAAACATTGGATCCTTACATTCCCCAAGTGTTACAAAATGGAGACACTGTTCAGTTCGGTCAAGTATTTGGAATATTTAGATTGCTGGAAGATGAAACTGATCTGCCAATGACACAAGCTTTAGAAATCCCTGAAACTCCTGTTGTGAAAAAGCATTTGTCTAAAATAAACCACACTGCTATAATACCAGAATCGCCAGAAGTCAGTGATAAGGTAAGAAAATATTATTTAGCCACAACTAAGCAATCCTAAAGTTTTTGCCGCACACCACCTCTACGTGGAACCGAGAGGAGCTGAGAACCTATTATCTAAAGGCCGGCAACGCACGTGCGAGCCTTCTAGCAATGTGAGTGTCCATGGGCGGCGGTATCACTTGACATCAGCTGTCACTATGCCCCTGTTATATAAAAAAAAACATTTTGTTACCATTCAGTATACTGATTACTCAGTATAGGCTTATAGCAAAGAAAGAATATAAATGTGCCCTATGTTTGTTCAACATATTGTGTTTTTTACATTGGCTGCAATAATCATAAAAGTATATTGTCTGTTACAGGATGACTCTTTTATTACTCCATCACAACCACAAACAGTTAGTAAACACTCAAATAATAATTTTGCTAAGCCATCTGGAAAACCAGCTTTCAATCATCCAGGTGGTCTACATGGTACAGAAAATATTAATTGGAATACTTCAAAGAAATCAAAATCATTTCAATTTGATACTTGTCTTAAAAATGTACAAATTGTTTCTGTTAAATCAGAAGTCACTATCAACCAAAAAGGATTTCACGAATTGCATACACAATTTACTGATAAAAGTATTGACAATAATGAAAACAATTTGTCTATTTATGAAGCTAATACACAATTACCTCATGAAGATAAACTGAACTATTCTAGTCTTACAAATGAAACAAAGGCCATAAATGGTAACAAAGATATTCATGATTTAGATACGCAAATTCCTGATAACTGTAATAACCCCTATGAATACAATGCCTCTGTTTTTAAAGCAAACACGAAAATACCTGATGATTTTTACGACATGGAGACCCAAGTTCATGCTGAAGAAGATTTACCAAATGTTTGGACAAAAAAGACATCAGTAAATATGGAACTTGATATAAACAAAGATATTAGTATATTTGATGCAGAAACGCAGCAATTTTTTAAAGAACCAAATCCAAAAAACCAAACTGTAAATGAAAAATGTAGAAGTCATGAAGCCTCTGATGATATAATCCTTTTTGATGAAATTAGTAGCCAGTCCATGGAAGATAATTTGGATTCACAAGCTATTTTGCCATCTAGTCCAAATACGAACTTAAATGCTAATAACTTAAGTAATTCAAATGTACTTGATGAGAATATTATTAAGTCAAACGGTCCAGAAAAGGGGCCAAATATTAATGATTGCGATGATTTTGATAATTTGCCGACACAAATTATTACGACTAAATCTCCCGAAAGAAATGGGGACCACATTGATGATGTAGATATTTTACCAACTCAAATAATTGTAATAGAAAACAATACAACTAACGTAAATCCCCAAAGAATTTCTAACATCACAGATGCAGACGAAGATATAACCGACTGTGAAGATAATTTAGATCACGAGTCTACAAAAGACAAAGACACAAAATTCGAAGATTTACAAACACAAATAATATCAGAGGATCTTGAAAATGGAAAACCCAGTGATGCTTCAAACTGTAACTTTGAAGACATGTTAACACAGGTAACAACAAGATTTTTAAAAGTATAGAATGGCACTGAATTAATTTAAGATGTTAATTTTTATATTGTCGTATTACTAACTAAGACTAAATTAACTGTCTTGTCAATGAGCAAGGTCGATTTGTTGTATAAAATCACTTCGCATAATATTTTTCTAGGGATATTGAATACTTTGATGTGCTACATAAATTTATAGTAAAATAAATATTTTTTTACAACAGGTAATAGTACCAGAAGAAGATACAACACTTAAATGCAAAGTCTTAAAGCAAATTACAACTTTCAACAATAACTTTAAAGTACCGAAACCTACCCCACGAAAAGCTAAAAGACAAATGAACCTAACAGAATATTTAAATAAACCAAATGCTCTCAAAAACAAACCTGGGATTTCTGAAGATGATGACCCGAACTATTACGCAGCTACACAAGATATTATTGGAGATTTATGTACACAGACAGATCCAAAAAACAATACTAAAGACTTAGATGATTCAGGTGGTGAAAATAAAATCAATGAAATGGTTTCTCTTTTATCCAGTCAAGAAGTAAGAGATATTGTTGGTGTTGAAAAAAATTCAAAGCTTAAAAGATTTCCCAGTGACAGTTCAGATTGTGAAACTACACCCTCTAAACCATTTAAATTTATGTGTACTGATTTACCAAATAGTCAAGAAATAAAAACTAGTATTACTGCTCAAAGCAAGACCATCACAGATGTATTAAGTGATTCTGAATCCGAAAAAGAGCCTGAAGAAGGCACGCCAATATTATTTAAAAAGAAGAAGAAAGTCAGTGAAGTTAAGCTAGACTTATTGCGGAAGTTCGATGCAGACGAGTTGCCTACTAGAATTTCTATGAGAGTAAAGAAAGCGCCTAAAAAATTCTCGAACAATTCTATAATTGTTAATGAAACTATTCTGAAGTCGCATTATATTCCAGATCAAGAGGAAAACATTGATGCAGACATAGTTACTGAAAATATCTTGCGCCTTAAAAGTGAAAAGACAAGAAAGTCAGCAGATGCTTCCAAACTTAATGTTACCACAGAACCAGAAGAAATTCCCAAACGAGAAAAAAGGATAACAAGAATCAAAACCGAAGAACCGACTACCTCAAAGGAAACTAAAACAAAGAGAACTTCAAAATCTAAAGATGACAAAGTTAGTGAGAAAATTAAAGTCAAAATAGTTAAACCTACAAAGCGCGGACGACCAAAAAAAGATAAGGCAGAAGAAAAACCAGAGACAATAGACGATGGTGGCTCTATTACACGACAACCGAGAAGTGAGTCCAAAGTAAATCCTAAAGGGATACTTAAGAGACGTAGTTCATACAATGATATATCCAATGAAGTAGAAACTGAACCGATCAGGAGAAGTCTAAGGCGAAAATGTACGAAGGATGGCGACGAAAGCGAAGTTTATAGTTCGTCTAATAATTCGCCTGGACTTAAAAGAAATGCGATTGCTAATGTTGAACTACCCGCTAAAAAATATAGGCCGGCAACCTCACTTGGGCTGGTCACAAATTTGAGAGCAACCTCAGCGAGAAAACAGAAAACCCACTATGTACTGTTCACTGCATTTCCCGCTAATGAAGTGAAAGGCCAATTGGAGAGATTAGGTAAGTTTTAGTCTTAGATAAATGCTTTGTTAGTCTTAAATACGTGCTTTAGTAGTCTCCCTATGTTACCTTTTTTGTTCTGTTCAACGTTATTTAGTACCTGGGTAGCTTAAATTAGGTAAGCTATAGTCTTAGACAAGTGCAGTGATATATGCCATTTAACTTTTATATTGCTATTAGTAATTGCTAAGTTATTTTTATAATTTTGCGTCTCTTAAAAAACTCATGTTGGTTATAAAATTAACTTCATAGATAAATCTGTATATAGAAAATAATTCGTGCTGTGAATTACCTTGTAAATTGAAAATCAATTGTGTAATAGTAAAACTGTATTAATAAATATATATTGGGTATTTTTTTCGGACGAATATTTTCTATTATAGCAAAGTGATTTTCTTTCTGTTTTTAATTACAATAAATATGTTCTCAGGCGCAGTCCTTGTTACTGACGTAAAAGCATGTACAGTAGTGTTGACGCTACAGATAAAACGGACATTTAAACTGTTATGTGCGGTGGGGCTTGGGAAGCCTGTAGTTGGGCGGCAGTGGGTTCAAGCCTGCATCGATAACAACGTTCTTGTTGGTATGTATGGGAAAGTGAAAAAGAGTTAGCAAAAAAGCCGCGCTGGTTTCAGGCAGTTAGGGAAAAGTAGGAATTATTAGTTGATCCTCCATGTTGTGTAAAACAAAAAACTTGGCGATTAAAAAGAGTGGTGGAGAGTTTATTGTCTTCTCTTCCGTTCTACGCCCTTGATTTGAGAACTGACAGTTAATGTAAAATTAGAAGCATTTAATGTATATTTCTTTAGTGACGTTCATAAGTGTTCATTGTGTTACCTATATGAATAAATGATTTTTACTTTGACTTTTTAGGTTTTGCTCTCAGATTTCTGTATATCTCATTATATTTTTATGAAGAGCCAAGTACTGGACACATAATTTTCATCCATTAGGGAGCGTTCAAGTATTACGTCACGCAATTTTTGGGAGATTATTTACCCATGTAACGCGCCGTAACGTTTTTCTGTACCCAAGTACAGTACTGTACCCAAGTATAGTAAAAGGTTTCGTGTCCACCTAGTGACTCTTTATACCAAAAAGTTACCATTATGTGGTGTAAAGTACTGGAAAGTCGAAAATAATAACGCGTAATTCAATCCCCGCCCCGCATCGTAACGTTTTACAAAAGGACCCACCAAATTCGTTACGTAATACTTGAACGCTCAATAGCCGGGGGCTCAGTCTATAATTTATACCATTTGGAATATTCTAGAGCCATGGTACTACTTGATCCAGGATGAAGTGTCCGAAAAAAGGTTCAATTTCAACCTGAAGCGAACGTTGAATAGCAAAAGAAACTTTCTCAAGGGCCTATACATCTCTGCCACACCTAGTGTTATGCCTAACGCTCAGGAGATGAAATGTAAGTATCTATTATAAAAGAATTTCATTTTTTGTTGGAAAAATCCTTACATATAGGATCAATAGGTCTGTCTTACAAACCCCTAAGCGATAAGGGGTGTCCACCCCAAAATTTTATATTTTATTTTATAGACAATTTTTTTTGTTTTTATTGTTTTATGATACAGCATACAAAAATACAACCCTTAATTTTCATCTTACACTCTTCGATCAACCCCTATTTCTTATTTGTTAGTTAAGAACGTAACTTGAACTCTGAGGTTTATATAGAGAAAAATCACAGAAAAACCTAAAAAGTTTTCATAGCAGAAAACCAAACAGTCTCTGGGGTAGCACAGGAAAATGTTTCATGTTGGTATGTACTAAGAAGGTACGCTAGGCATTAAGGAGAAACGAAGTTCGCGGGGGCAGCTAGTTATTGTATACAAAATCAATCTTATATCATCAATATAAAGAGGTTAGTTTAATTACAGGTGTGTTTCACTACTGCCTTGCGATTCTGTAACACACTCTTCCACACCCACCAGGGGTTTCTAGGGGGGGGGGGGCTGCGATTTGGGGTTTTTTTATAAACTACAAGCTCCCTCCTTATCAGAATGCCAAATCGTAAAATGACTGCTTCACGACTGAATTGAACGCGAATGCCGCTGTGAAAACCGCTGTGTGAGATCGAAAAGTGAGTTACAGAATCGCAAGGCTAGTCGTGGTGTCTTATTACTCGAGTATAAAATTATAAAACAGTTATTTGGGAATTTAAATTCAGCAGGCAGTCTAGTTCGCAAGTGATTTCTCTATTAGATATTTATTTGAACCTAGAAATATTTCAATCGATATATTCTGAATACAAACAGTGTTGGCCTAGACAACACTTCCTGGTACGATGAAGGAAAACATCGTGAGGAAACCGGCATTAGACCTTAATAGTCGACGGTGTGTGTCAGGCACCGAAGGACCAACTCGTCTATTATAAGAAAAATAATGTCACGAAACAAATCTAAAGACCCAACCCTAAAAGGTTATAGCGCCATAGAGTTTTTTTTTATATATTTTTAACATATGTAACAATTTCAGTGATCGTAGAGTGTTCGGGAGGCAAGTGGAAAGAAGCTTTAGATGCTCCCAAATCAAAATGGCTGGTTGTATCGACACCCGTTGATAAAGCATTGTGGCCCGCTTTTAAGAAGAAAGGTGGTATTATCGTTTCCAACGAATTGGTTCTCGATGGAGTTTTAAAACAGAAATTAGAAATTGAAAAGAATAGATTGGATTAATTGCGCGGGCGCAGCGAATGGGCTATTTGACAATATTTTAATATTTCAGTCAAGTGACTATATGACCTATACAAATTGTTATTTCTAATTCTGTTATGTTTTTAAATAAAACATAATTCCAAAAACCCGCCAAAACGCTTATGACGTAAAAGATGGCCTGTAAACATAGTGTCGATTATTTTTTAATACAAATTGAATTCTTATCTATTATGTATGTTTTGAATTAAATTTATAATTATATATATAATAGATTTAATATGAAAAAATTAATAAAATTGTATTAATTTAATGTTTTACATACTTAACTAATTGTTATTACGGGCCGGCGCGCCTCATTGCTCCAGCTCTCAACTGCGCACCGCAGTCCACCCCGAGACACTGACACAGCAATTCGTGCTGGGATAGGGCCTTAAGGGCTAGTTTTCATTAAGAATAAAGTCTATCTTGGGAGTATTATACGTTTTCCCATGATAGAACCAAGACAGTTCTGTTGAATCCACCCTAAATACAAGATAACTTTAAAATAGTATGAATAGGTAACTATAAGCGATGGTCAGATATTGTTTAGAAATTCATTAATCATAAGTTCGTTCACGTTAGGTTATAGACATAGTTTATGGTCTACCATTTGTACTTTACCATAATAAAACCTATTTTAGTCTGAAAGTACAAAAATATATACTGTTTCCCGCCTTTTATTTTTGTAAGTCATTTAGCATATGTTTGTCATTTTGACGTCACACCTAACGTGTCTGTGTTAACGTCACTTCACCTTTTTTATTATGTATCTAAGCAGTTGTTAATGGGTCCCGTAACAAGTCGGAAAATGCATATATTATCTATAAGTGTTCCTTACCATAGTACAATACTTAAATCTTGAAATCGGTAAATTGGTTGCGAAGATATTACACATTTGCACAAGCCGACGCGGCCGAAATGTTCATGTGACGTCACATTTCCCTACCGCCCTTGCGCTCGCTCTCCGCCATTCATTTATTAAAGTTCACTCGATCTGCGCGGGTCGTGTTGTGGTTTTGTGGTTTTTATGTGAAAATATGCCGCATTACAAGTACTTATATACCGAAATTCATATTCACTAGTACACCTGAAAAACTGTTTTAATGTGCCAAGGGACCTGAAAGTGCAAAAAATGGTGTACTGTCATGAGAGGGGTGACAGTACACCTTACATTAGTCATGTGGTAAACAGTATCTTAGTAAAACTTGTTTGTACGAATGTTAAAAGAAAAATAAGGGTCGTACTAGGTATATTTCAATGAATAAATAAATGAAAAAAGTGTAAGTAGTGAAGTTTCTAATACCTTCCTCAGTAGTCTGGTAAAACAGGGTCGTACTGAGGCTCAATAAATAAATTGCCGTTCCCAGGAAATTTCCCAAGCCGGAACAAGGGAAATTCCCCTTTGGGGAATATTTCTGTAGGTAATAAAACTGTACAAAGTGAATTCTATACATGAATATTTTTTGAATAATCGAGTTATGAGAGCTCATAACCAAAGAAACCAAAAATATTGTTTTTGAATTTCTTGTCTGTCTGTTGAACGCTTTTCACGCGAAAACCGCTAGACGTATTTTACGCCTTTTTTTAAAACTCTTTGCGAATATTTTTACAATACGTTTAGTTTAGCCACCACTTCTTACTTCTGGTTCCAGACGTTTTCCTCTTTCCATAGCGACTGTCTCCTTATGATGCCCCGAAAATCTGTTCAATAAAAACCATCAGTCTTGAAGTTTGCAGTTTCGTGAATTTTTGACGCCGTTACTCTGCAGTTCTTAGTTCCCTTCACAATGGTGAATCAGCTTGCGATAATGTTGCTTCTTCTGCTTTGCTACAGTCTTCTATAGTCAATAAAATGAGCTGATCGTTTATATCTATACCCTCTTTTCTAAACTCATTATTAATACATTAGTGACATTTTTTTAACGCGCTTTGTGGTACGCAATAGGCTGCCTGCTGGTTATGATAAATATAGAATTTTCATGTACTGTTTTTTACAGTTCTAAATTGACCTTTGAATAACTGTCATCTTGATTTTTAGGTGTGCCTATCCCATATCTCTATTCTTTATAAATTTTAAAGTGGTGCCCACCGTAGCTAATTTAGGCTTAGTTCATAACATTTTTTCTGTTGGGGATGGTTCCTCCTTCGTGTAAAACATAAGAAAATGCTACACCGTGCTTACAACCTCCCAGTTGAGACACAATCATGACACTCAATGTTTAGTATTATTCTGTTCATCACAAGTAATTGCACATAAGCTTTACCCTTTTCTTTATGTTCTGGTGTAATTTTGCTGATGTTATATCTTGTTTCCTTAACAAATCCACATTTCAACCATATTTGATTCACGCCCTGACCTGAAAAAAATATCGTAAGCGTTTAGAATACGTATACATTAGCGATATCATAGGATTACTTGTTCAAAAATCTAAGGTAAACGAAAAAGTATACCTACCGATTACTTTGTTTCTTATATTCATTTCACTACAAAACTAGACGACAACAATACGCAAGTCAAAGATTGAAATGAAATGAATCATTTCGTCGGCACTTTTCTTCTTACCTACCAGCAATGTGCTGTCAGTTGCCTACTAACAATACTAGGAACTAATAAAATAAGATTTCCGACTGGCAATGACCCAGAAACATTGAGAAGAATATTCCCGGTAACATGTTCATATCCATAAACCTATTGGGAATTTTCCCGGGCCTGAATACGACCCTGTATTCCTGACCTACTTATTATCCTGCTGTGATTAGGTTGATAATGAGATTTGCTTACCTCTAAGTTTCCAACCACGAATTTCAGCGCTTTTAATGATTACTAAATAATCAAATACCAAGGAGATTATTGGATGCGCTTGCTCAAAACCGATATCTACCTTATCTACCACTGATTTGTTATATTATAATAAAACCTCTAATATTAAAAACAACAAATCTTTGGGTAAAACTGGTGACGTTACCTCTGTTTGGACGAGATCCGAACGAATAAAAGCGCGGGCGCGCTGTGGTTCGGCGGCAAGCGTTGAGATATTGTGACGTCATTGCTTGCATTCGCGCGGTCAGTAAACCTTGTTCGGTATTTTGCCCAAACTTGTCATTTGGTCTAGAACAAAATTTTTTGCACCTTATGTTTTAGTTTCTCAAGGAAAACTTATAACAAGTTACGGGTCCCCATTATGAGTTAACGGTTAACCTATTTAAAAGTACCATAACCAATAATTTTCATTGCTCTATTCTTTCTGGAATCGGTCATAGATCAATTTCGGGAAAGCTTTTAGCTATTGTATCGCTGTTAGAAAAGGACGCAATGAAAGTGATTTTGTTTAAGTAAGTGTCGCTACTGTCAGATTTAAAATCTAAATTGATATACTCTGTGACTGTGTCAGATTTGAGGGCGTTAGAAGTCAGTGCCTCTACCATAAATGACAAATATTATGATTAGAAAACGCCTGCAAATATTCATATGAAAATTCTTACTTTTGCGCGCGTAATGATAATCATACAGATAAGTTTGTCAAGCATGGTCTACATACTGAAGTGTACATAATTTTAGTGTTTCTTATGTTTAATACTTTCATAGGTCGTTCATATACTGTGTTCGGTGCCTTATTGTATAGAAATAAACTTAATTTACTTCGACATTTAGCTGTAAAATATGTTATGTTTGTTAATAAATTGCTTGTTGTAACTTGCGTTATTATTACATAATTTAAAGATGCGAAAACTCGAATTAAATACTAATAGCAAAGAATATTGCGAATTTTCTGACTGAAATCTGACGGTTTATTATGTTTATGCATATTAAACCGTCATTATTCATCATCCATCATAATCAATAGTTGTACAGCCCCCTATGGGCCTTTGCAAGTATCTTTCACCATAGCAATCTCGTGTTTCATCCGTCCAACTTGGAACACCTAACCCACCCCCGGTCTACCGGGATTTAACTTGTATAAATAAAAAACAAGAGACGATCACAAAATTTATTTAAATTAAATTCCCTTTTAAAAATAACTCCTCATTTTGTATACGACCATACCCAGGTGGAGTACAAATGTTGTATAACTCAATTAATATATTATATTAATTTTACTCTATATTAGCATAAATTCAATAATACATACAGGAACAAATATAACACTTATCTCTAAAAAATACATCCTTATATAGAAAAAACCCGAAACGAATATAGTATAATCCAATCTTCGTCTTAAACGGTTTCAGTGTTGAAATTAATTACTAACTTTGTAATTTAATAAAAAAATGCATTATAAGAACCATCTTTATTGGAATGTATATATGACTTGTCGAGACTTAACTATTACTCCGGTATGTCAACACGTTAATGACATATGGAAGTTATACTTAAATCAAGATTGAGAATCTTACCCTATGCAGAGTGGTATTAGATATAAAGCAATATGAATTTGACATTTGCTATGGAGACATGGATAAATACTCTGTTTATATTGACACAAGAACATATTTTTAAGATAATAAATGGACATGAACCGAACTCTGTCATCTGTCAAATTCAAACTCTATTGAGGAATTTAAATAATTTATGGTTTCACTCCGTTGTCTATGATATGGCCACAGAACCTGGCGTTTGTGCAGACAATTATTTAATAATACAATAATGTACAAAGCGTTATGCGGCTGCTTGACACCGGTAGCAAAATTGCTATATCGTGCAATAACCTTTTATAGAATTAACAAAAAAGTACTTTTTCAAAGTATCATCTATATAACGACCGCTAGACAAAATGTGCCTTACAAAATATGAAACCTTAAACTAAAGCAATAAAGTCGCTATAAAGCGCAATACACACTGAGCCCGCCGGCCGCCGACAAAGTCCGGCGACACAACCCGGCGGCCTGTATGAAAAGAATCATGCACGTGCGCGTAGGCGCATGTTGCCGACATGCCGCCGACCAAATTTTCCGACTTGTAATAAAATAAGTGAAGCCGCCAACTACACCGCCGACAAAAAGTTGCCAACATAATATGTCGGCGGCCCGGCGCGGCGGGCTCAATGTGTATTGCGCATAAGAAATACCCATATTACGAAAAATACAATTATTATTTTGTACGGGTGTCTCACCCTATTTATATCTTAAAATTAACTAAATAGGTATAATTAAAGGAAAATTACAACTTATCTTACATATGCTGAATATAAACGAAAATTAAAAAAGGTGAAAGACGATTATTATGTGATATTAAATTAAAAATTAAAATGTTGCCATTGTTGCTGAATGTTTACAATAATGATAGCAGAATAAATTCACGTTAACGACCGTTAAGAAATTTTATTAAAACATGTATTCAACAAAAATATAAAGAAAATTGCACATGTTTACCAAAACATACAGTCTGTTTCCTTTCTACGCCTGTGGATTCTTCCTCATGAGCTCCATGTCAGCATCCATCATGTCAACGACCAGCTCATCGAAGGTCATCCGTGGAGACCAGCCAAGCTGTTGTTTGGCTTTACTTGCGTCTCCTAGTAATAGGTCCTGAAAAAAACAACGAATTTTTCTTACGGTTATGTCCAAGGAGATGCAAAGCCAATATTTTATTCGCATTTCCACAGCTAATTTAAATTTAACAATTTTTTTTAGTTCAATTATACAGTCAAAACCGTTTACGACGACATCGTTTAGAACAACATACCGGTTATATCGACCAAAATCAAAGGTTCCGGCTGAATTCTATTGTACATACATATTAGGTTGTTAATAACAACGTCATCGGCTGTTACGACTTTTGGTTTTTCGAGCAAATATGAGTAATCCCTTCGATATCGTTATAACAAATTTTGACTGTAATTATAAAAAGAATTTGTAACTCACCACTTCAGTAGGTCTGAAATACTTAGGGTTGACCCGCACTAGCAATTGTCCCGTGGCTTTATCGTGCCCCGTCTCCTCCACCCCACTTCCCCTCCACTCGATAGTCCTCCCCACGTGCGCGAAAGCCTTGTCGACAAACTCCCTAACACTGTGCGCCTCCCCCATTGCCACTACGAAGTCTTCTGGCTTCTCTTGTTGTAGCATTAGCCACATTGCCTGATTATTATGTAAATTAATTCTATTAATTTTCACTGTAGTATTAATGATTATGTGAGCTGTGTTGGCCAAGTGGCTTCAGCGTGCGACTCTCATCCCTGAGGTCGTAGGTTCGATCCCCGGCTGTGCACCAATGGACTTTCTTTCTATGTGCGCATTTAACATTCGCTCGAACGGTGAAGGAAAACATCGTGAGGAAACCGGCTTGCCTTAGACGCAAAAAGTCGACGGCGTGTTTTAGGCACAGGAGGCTGATCACCTACTTCCCTATTAGATTACAAATGATCATGAAACAGATACAGAAATCTAAGGCCCAGGCCTAAAAAGTTTGAAGCACCACTTTGGATTGGATAATAATTGACTATTAAGTTTTCCAAGCACTATTAATTTATTCTAACGCAGGAAACAATCTAAGTTTCATCATTGGTTCAGTAGTTATTGAAATACCAGCCCACACATCTAGACATGTACAGATACCGGCAAACATCTTGAACATTAAACAAGGGAGCGGGGGAAAGTTTGCGCAGCGCGGGACACAAACGTCAACTGATTTACTAATCACGCGATAGACACGTCACTGTCCCTGCCGCCGCGCACCACCGCCCGCTTCAGCCGCCCCCCTCTCAGTGATACCTAAAAATCGCTTCTGCGCAGGCAAGGACATTTGTTCAAGATGTTTACCGGTATCTTTATAATATAGCAAAATAAAATTAAAGCTATTTGATGTCGGTTTAATTTTATAATTCTGTCAAAGTACTATTTCAAAATTACTAAGTTTCAGTGAAAAACTTACCTCGACATAGTCCTTGGCGTGACCCCAATCTCTCTTACTATCCAAATTCCCCAGCTCTAGACATTCGAGCAAACCCAGCTGTATCTTAGCCACTGCCCTCGTGATCTTCCTCGTGACAAAATTCTCCCCTCTACGCGGGCTTTCATGATTGAACAATAGCCCGTTACACGCGAACATACCGTACGCCTCGCGGTAGTTAACGACAATCCAATAGCCATATAATTTTGCACAAGCTGAAGTTAGTTGATTGATTAAAAATAATTTAGTTTTCGTAAATTACAAGAAAGTTTTATTGGAACGATCAAAAGCTGTATTATAGAAGTTATACTTCTTTAGGCGCGTTATGTAAAATTGATGAGAGTGAAATTTTACTATGCGCGCGCACCGTGACACAAAATTAACAGAATGAAGTTAGTGGCGCATGTTGGCACGCCGTCTCTGTTCAATGTGTATTTATATTTATAATATTTATCTACATACTTTGAGTTTCTACATTTAAAACACGTGTTTTCATTTTGTTTTCATTATACAAGTGCGAATTTTATATGTGCGTCTGAATTATAATCACTAATCACTAATCACTAATTAATATTAGAAAATAATAATAAATATTTATTTAATTTTTCAAATGTAAACTGAACGTTATTGACTATAATGACTCCTTTTCTAGTCTTTGATTATTTATTTATAATTAATTATTTGCATGCAATCAAAAACTATTTTTAATAATGCCAAAGAAGTATAACTTCTTACGCGCGTACATAAGTACACGCACCCTTTTTTTTAACGTAAAATAATATCTTAATAGGTTGTAAGGTTCCTGGATCATCGGGGTGCTTTAAATAATAGAGGATTTTAGTTTTACTATATATTAACCACTCGCGTACAACAATGGAATATAAGCGAAATGAAATATATGCTATGTAACGAATGAATGCAATGTAACAGTCGAAGAGAGTGCGTCTACGTCTGGCTATACTCTCGGGGCGTAACTCGGACGATTTAGGAAATCGCCACGCTTATAAAACTAAGAAAGCCTGAGTGAGCAAAATGTACAGCCTTGGCTCGTACAAAGAATTTAAGTTCTCTGGCCACGATGAAATAAGTAGCAAAATAATATTCATTAATTGAAGTGAAACTTCTTTTTCGGGGGGGAAAAAATTTTGGGGAATTTTTTTTTTTTTCCCCCTTTTTTTTTTTTTCCCCCCCTTTTTTTTTTTTTTTAAACTTTTTTTTGGGGGGGGGGGGGGAATTTTTTTTTTTCTGGGGGGGGGGGTTTTTTTTTTTATTTTCCGGTTTTTTTTTTTTTTTTTTTTTTTTTTTTTTTTTTTTTTTTTTTTTTTTTTTTTTTTTTTTTTTTTTGGGTTTTTTTTTTTTTTTTTTTTTTTTTTTTTTTTTTGAAGTTTTGTAAACTTTAGCAAAATAATATTCATTAATTTTTTTTTTTATAAATGTCTCTGCACAAATTAAACTAATTTACTTAAACATAAGAAAGTGCAGAATAACACTACATACAGTCTCTTTCCAGGGGATTCATAGGTTCATAGGTAACAACGATCAGTTATTAACGTCACGAACGACGATTTGAAATCGCGATAAACTCTCCGCTATTGTTTTTAATTTCAAAGTTGTTTGTTTTACAAAACAGTTGTCAGACATTTAAACTCTCGAAATATTGAGTTATGTAAATAAAACCGAATTTATTTTTTAAATATCGCAAATTCAAAAAAAAAATGTGTAATAATAATAACTACTAAAAGTTTCTTATAATACTCGTAACATTGCATCATATACTGAGTGATCAAGTCAAATCCATTTATCTAACTACATAACTAAATAATAAATAGATTTCAAAGAAATCCTCAAATCAATATAATTATGTCATATTTAAAAAAAACAAAAAAATTTGAATAAAAAGGAAAGGAAGGAAGGTTATTAGTTGACTACAAGAAGGTACAATCTCCTCTATCAGCAGGAGGACAAATCTTTGTTCATAATTTATTTAATTATTAATTAAATAAGATGTTACGTGGAATATGGTGTAATGCAGCTTCGGTTGTTAAGCTAACCAACAGCTTAAGAAACATTGTGTAAAACAAAAAACTTGGCGATTAAAAAGAGTGGCGGAGAGTTTATTTCCAGTTCGTCTCTTCCGTTCTTCGCCCGTTGGGACTGGCAGTAAATATAAAATTAGAAGCATTTAATATGTATTACTTTTTGACGTTCATAATAATAATTCTACATTGTATTACCTAAATTAAAAGATGATTTTGTATTGATTTGATTTTACGAAGTAAAGTAACCTAGGTCGGCTAGTTACAAAAACTTTATAGAACATACCATAGGGCGATCGTGGATAGAACGGCGTGTTTTCAGTTTGTGGTATTTCCACTACTTTTCCATAGAGCTCAGAGGTAGATGCCTGGTAAATTTTGGTCTGTTTTTCTAGGCCAGCAACCCTCACTGCTTCTAACAACCTCAGGGTTCCTAACGCGTCCACTTGAGCTGTGTATTCACTGAGCTCAAAGGAAACCTTGACGTGGGATTGAGCTCCAAGATTGTATATCTCTTTTGGTTTGACCTGTAACAAATTATTGTTTTTATTTGCTAAAACAAACCAAAATAAACATAAACAGATTTTGTGGTTTCCAAACCATATATGGCCCTGTAGCTTCAGCGTGCGACTCTTATCATTACACGCTTTATATCATTAGCTTCACCTGTATGTATATATGTATGTATGTACCTATGTATGTAACCGACTCCTTCGGACTCGATTTTGACCCACTCTGTGCCATATTTTTCGTCTATCGAGCAACCCACGCTTTTTCACAATAAAACCAGTATTTTTTGTTCATTACCATTTTCAGCCTAAATTAGGTATTATTTTTCACTTTTTAGTTTGATGTGCTTTAAAAGCGTGTTTTTTAGTTTTTTTTAAACTATTATTTATTTTTTAGTTAAAGTTTTTTTTAACTATTATTTATTTTGTGTTTAATTTCTAATACTCAATTCTTATTTAGCGATTTCTAAACATTAAACAGTAAAGTTAAAGCAAGCTATTGGAAGAGAAATAAATTGGGAAAAAATTACATAACACATAAACTATGTCTTTAAAAATTAAACGTAATAAACACTAATTTAAATTATTAGTAGCCTACTATGTATCTACATATATCTACTTCTTTTTTTTTTTTTTTTTTTTTTTTATGTAATAGGAGGCAAACGGGCAGGAGGCTCACCTGATGTTAAGTGATACCGCCGCCCATGGACACTCACAATGCCAGAAGGCTCGCAAGTGCGTTGCCGGCCTTTCAGGAATTGGTACGCTCTTTTCTTGAAGGACCCTAAGTCGAATTGGTTCGGAAATACTTCTGTGGGCAGCTGGTTCCACATAGTGGTGGTGCGCGGCAAAAACTGCCTTAGAAAACGCTCTGTTGTGGAACGACGGACGTCGAGGTGATACGGATGGTATTTTGTATTTTGCCTTGACGTCCGATGATGAAACTCAGCTGCAGGTATTAGACCGAACAACTCCTCTGAACACTCTCCATGGTAAATGCGGTAGAAGATGCAGAGAGATCCCACATCTCTACGCAACGCCAAGGGATCAAGCCGCACGGAAAGTGACTGGTCGTCGACGATTCGAACCGCTCTTCGTTGAATACGGTCAAGTGGAAGGAGCTGGTACTGGGGAGCTCCCGCCCAGAGGTGAGAGCAGTACTCCATATGGGGCCGAATTTGCGCTTTATATAGTTGCAAGCGGTGGCCCGGAGTGAAGTACCGTCTCGCCTTGCTGAGCACACCAAGCTTTTTGGAGGCTAATTTAGCCTTTCCTTCCAGATGACCGCGAAACTGAACGTTATTCGATATGTTAACGCCCAGTATTCCGATGCTAGCTGAGGCTTTAAGGAGAGTGTCTTCAAAGAGGGGAGTAGCGACAAAGGGAGTTTTTTTAGCGGAAAACGCGCATACTAGTGTCTTCTTGGGGTTAAATTGGACTAGATTTAGTCTACCCCAGTCCGAGACTCCACGTAGAAGAGTTTCGACTTCAGACACAAGTTTGTTCCGGTACTCATCGACAACAGCCCGAGAGATACCTGCCCGGCCAGTGTAAAAAGTATCCCCAGTGCTGTCGTCCGCATAGCAATGAATGTTGCTAAGCTGCAACATATCATTGATATGCAGAATAAACAGGGTCGGGGATAGGACACAGCCTTGTGGGACACCAGCATTCACAGGTTTCAGGTCGGAGCATGCTCCGTCGATGACGACTTTGATGCTCCGATCAGCGAGAAAGCTGGAAATCCAGTTGCATAATTTCTCAGGGAGCCCATAGGCTGGAAGCTTCGAGAGCAGTGCTCTGTGCCACACCCGATCGAAGGCTTTCGCTATGTCCAAACTTACCGCCAGCGCCTCCCCTTGGACTCAATTGCCTCTGCCCACCTATGTGTAAGGTATACAAGGAGGTCACCAGCCGAGCGACCACGACGGAAGCCGTACTGAGAATCGCTAATCAGCTGGTGGCCCTCTAGATACCTCAAGAGCTGGCTGTTAATAATGGTTTCCATTATTTTGGAGAACAAGGAGGTTATAGCTATTGGGCGATAGTTGGACGGATCAGAGCGATCGCCTTTTTTAGGGATCGGATGTATCGAAGCGATCTTCCAGCACTTCGGAACAGTGCCGAGCGTGTAAAGGTACCGGAAAAGGCGCGTTAGGACCGGAGCCAACTCAGGAGCACAAGTACGCAGCACAATTGGAGGGATGCCATCAGGCCCGCTCGACTTATGGATGTCCAAGGAAGACAAAGCTTTACGGATAGCACGTTGCCGGAATATAACTTCGGGCATCGTAGTATCACACCGCAATAATGTCGGTGGTTCCTTCCCTTGATCATCCAAAGTGGAGTTCGACGCAAAGAGACAGCCTAGAAGATCGGCCTTCTCTTTCGCGGTATGGGCAAGTGAGTCATCCTCCCTATGCAGTGGTGGAATTGAGGGCTGACAGAAATTCCCTTGGACAGCTTTGGCAAGAGACCAGAAGGCTCGAGTTCCCGAAGGGAGGTGGGCCAATTTCTCACCAAATCTGGCAATGTGCTCTGACTTTGCTTTAGCGATTTCTCGCTTGAAGGACCTGGAGGCTGAATTGTATGCTTTTTTACGTTCGCCAATAGTCACATCACAGGATGTCACCGCTTCTGCCCAGGCTTTAAAGCATTCACGCTTACGGCGCAAAGCCGCTTTGCAGGAACGCCTAAACCAAGGCTGGGACTTGCCACCGACCGGCACCGCAGAGAATGGAATAAAGAGTTCCATACCCTGCAGGACCACCTCGGCGACAGAGTCAGCGACGGCATCTGGAGTACTCGACGAAAAGCAAATGGGCCCCCAAGGGTAGGACGCAAAAAAAGACCGCATCCCATCCCAATCTGCTGACTTATAGTGCCACACGCGGCGACAGCCCGTGAAGCTAGGCCGAAGAGGGCGCGTGAACGGCACAATGCTCCGGACCACACAATGATCTGATGAACCCAATGGCGGTTCAACAGAGACTTGGTAGTTCTCCGGATGTGAAGTCAGCAGAAGGTCCAACAAAGAGGGTTTATGACCATCCACATCTGGTATTCGCGTAATCGCAGGGACCATTTGCGTCAAGTCATAAGCCAAAGCAAAGTCGTGAAAGGATCTTCCCGCATGATCGGTGGTTTCTGAGCCGAGCCAATCGGCATGGTGGGCGTTAAAATCGCCAAGTATCACGATTTCAGCGGTAGGAACCCTTTCGAGCAGGGAATCTGTAGCCATTTGGATGTGCTCAATGAGTCGGTCAGTTTCGGTATTTCCGCTATGGGACCTATACAGGCATGCATAGAATCGCGGATGGTCATCGCAGTCTACGCGCAGCCAGAGGTTAGATAGGTCCCTTCCTTCAAGCGTCCCGAGGCGACGAGAACAGATATCCTCTCTGACGTACACGCAAACTCCCGCCCGCGGCACAAATGAATGTTCCAATTTGTACCCCGGGTAGGAGAGGTAGGAAGTATCAGCCGGGGAGGAAATCTGAGTCTCGGTAAGAAAGAGCAAGGCCAGCTTCGCAGTCTCTAAATGGTAGTGGACTGCGTTGATATTAGAATTGAGCCCCCTAACATTTGTGAAGTCCACAGCGAGCGTGGACGGGGGTGCCTTTGTTGAGTTGCTCCGTTTGCCCCGAGAACGATAACTGTTTTTGATGTTGAGCGCAGAATTGCCCCCCCCCAGAATACGAAGGGCAGCCTGTGCGTCCACCACCGGGTGCTGAATGTCCCGGTGTTGGACGCCCAGAGGGGGATTCTCCACCGCGAGCGCGTGTGGTACCCCCTGGGGTAGATTATCTTTTTCTGCACCTTCATATTTCATGGGGGGGGGGTTGGGCTCCGGGAGTCTCTCTCACCGCACGAAACGCGAGTACAATAAGGTGAACTTATTGCATCACTTCACGCCGGTTTTCTGAGAGACAGTGGTACTGCCCCGGTCGTGCCTGCCCATTTGGCTGAAGCCCGAAGGCAACAGCATGGCACTCCCACTAGGAAGGGGTTGACTGATTGCGCTGATGAAATAACCTCTGTCACAGGTTATTTCACCAGTGGGCGATGGGGTCGTCACGTCCCGACGCCATAAAATGTAAATATAAATATATATATATATATATATATATATATGTATATAAAATATTTGAATAAATCGCAAAAAAATATATGCCAAAAATAATTTATAAATAATTAATTAATTGTTTAAATATATCTAGTAGATGCATAGCTCTGCAAGAATTGTAATTTTTGTATAGAGCAAGTGTATTAATACAGTTTCAATAACATGCGTGCCATGAATATAACCTTTACAATATTCATGAATAAAATTAATATTTAAGTGTAACATCTCCATAAGAATATTACAATTGTATTTCTTAACACAGCTCTTTAAGAAATTAATTTCAGATTGATAATTGAGAGATAATTCAAGTCATTTTTTATACAATATGAATTTACTTTGCTTAACATGGTGACCACAACTCGTGTTTATAACAGTAATATACTTATTTATTTATAGGTATCATATCGACGTAGGAAAGCACATTTGCTGTAAGTAGACATATTGCAATTGTTCACCAGAGCCAAAAAACTTTATTAATTTCGGAAAAAAATTAATAGTGTCTGACCTATCCATGATATTGCTACCATTTTTGAAACATATATTTATTTAACTGCCAGTCACCATTTGCAATGTAAACTTTTTATCCAAAGTTACTATAAGTACGTGTTTGGCTAGTTACAGCAAACAGTTTTTTAAATCACAAACCTTTAAAACGCTGTAACTAAGGAAGAAAAATGTACGCTCGGAAATATTATCAATTTACAGGCGGTAAATATGCTGTATGCAGGAAATTTATGTATTTGGGTACTTTTAATTGCAATTCAAGATGTAAGATTAGTTTATAATTATGATTAGATCTAGAAATGCAGTGGGTCATTTGGTAATGTAATGTTTGGTTGAAATAAAATGTCGTAAATGGTAAAAAAAAACCAAAACTGTAGGTTCCCTAAACTTGCTGTAAGTAAACGAATGTAAAAATCACACGCCGCTGAAATGCTGTAAGTAGCGTTAAGTTTTTAAATGGGAAGAAGTAAGTATTTGTAATGAAAAAATGCAGATTTTCTTTTGCTGTAAGTGCGAAATGTCTGAAATGACTAGATTTTGGTCTACATACAGCATTTAATCTTGCTAAAAATAATATAAGTACGGGCGTTTTCAACGGCGTATGTAATTTTTTTTTCATCGTAGAGACACAGGACCCAGGTCATTCGATGCGGCTTTTTTTTCTGATTCTAATGGCAGGAAAAAGTCACTTTAGGTATTTTGTCTACTTACAGCAAATATGCTTTCCTACGTCGATATATCAGTTAAAAGCTAATTAGCTCCTGCGGGTAATTACCCGCGTATTTCATTACTATTTCTACGTGTGTATAACACGAAAGTGTAATTTAGATATTAATGAGTATGAAGCAATTAATTATCTTTTACTAAAAGTTATTTTATTTTCCTGAAAATCCTGTTCTTACAAAAATCTTCCTGATCCCTTAAAAAAATTTAGGAACAATAGAGAAGCCATGTTTCGTTCATAGTTGATGAATGAATCAAGCCAAAAATCGGTTAACATTTTGTTATAACACACGCAACTTTGTGAAATTCTTAGTCTCGTTTGTATTTGCGTGGCAGAAATAATTCTAAATCAGTCAGTTACTTTTATTCTATGCCCAAACACTTCTTATAGAAATATTCATTTCCTCTGGTATAAAGCAAACAGTAACACGTCGTTCCGCCTAAACAATGCTAGCAAATATCATCGTTCCGGGCGGGGGGCGTCGATAATGGAAGTTCTTCCTCGCTTGAAGTCAGCACACCAACGCTCAACCGTAGAATATAGAGGAGCATAAATTTTTAATGTTGCATTTAAGTTTTGATTTATTAGCCCCATCGTTACATTTTATTCGTCACGATATTTTATTACCGCGCGAAATTCAATTTTATAAATGTTTAAGAATACATTCCGACACAAAGCAAACAAATGATTTCTATTTTTTTGAATAAAATAAGATTTATAAAAACCTTTTTCTTGTATAACTCTGTTTATTACTGATTACTAAAATTCATGAAATAAATTTGTCCTTCACTTAGTATAATAGAAGATTAGTGCTTTTATTACCATTATGCTGGTGATGATGTCACCGAAAGTAATTTTAGTATAATTGAATATCGATGTTCTATTTAGATTACTACTAAATTATCTGATAAAATACAACAATTGCAACATTTATAAATTTGTGATAGAATATATAAGTTCAGTTCAAAGAAAAGACTAGTTTTTTCACAATGAATATACATTTTCAGGAGATTTATTTTTATATGAAGTTATGGTCAGCACCTAGTCAACAAAATTTAAGTCAACAAACGTGATAAAAGGTACTTTGTAAAGAGCGATTGTATTTTAATGTGTTGTGTTACAAGGAAAACTTATGTGAAATTTTATATTAAAATAAATTCAAGGTTACTTTAATTTAATAAAACAAAACCTCACCTTTGAAATAATACTAATAAGGCAGGTGGTGTCAGTTAGATCTCCATAATGCAAATGCATACGCCCTCCAGAAAAGCAAGCAGGTTTTTCATATAAATGTTGAATTCGGCCAGTATTGAATGATGAAGAGCGCCTTAAAATTCCATGTACTTCATAACCCTTTTCAATTAAAAACTCTGCTAAATAGGATCCATCCTAAAATGTATAATACAATTTAATATAGATACTTCTGATTATGGTAATAGCAGTAAAATATTTAATAGCAAGTTAAACACACAAAAAATTCTTTGTAATAATCTTAAATTAATATAACACAACCAATTTGTAGCTGAAAAATTAAGAGCTAAGTAATTTCAAGAGAAAAATTTACTTTAAGTGAATTAAAACAATATAATTTTTATTAGGATTTAAATGATTTAGCAGTAAATTGAAATTTGTTTAATCACCTGTCCAGTTATTCCTGTGATGAGAGCAACTTTTTCATTCGCAGTCGAAGCAGAAGATTCCCCGGACATTTTTTTATTTATTAAATACAAAAACACGTATTCACTTTTAAACCGGCAAACTCACTGATAAGATATCACAACTGTTGAAAGCATAGGACAAGTAAAGTTTGGTATGTCATACCAATTTACAAACCGCAATGTTTACAAATCTTAGGCATTACTCAGCTGCATTGTTTGTCGTGTCGTGTCCGTAGTATTTCTTGCGTATTTAGGTAATTTGAACACGATCTTTAATAATTTAGGAAATAGGAATTTAAAATATTCCAAATATTAAACTATGTTCATAGTAACAATAAACATTTCCAGTTTCCACAGAACAATTATAAACAGACAACCAGAAATTTTCTTATAACCGTCAAGTGTCCACCTCTTGAATTGTGTTAAGTGTTTTCAGTTTTGTGTTTTTGTATGGGGTGTGTGGGGGCTTAGACAAGAATATGCCTTAACAGTAGTGTATGTAGAAAGTCGAAAACTAAATTTGTATGAAAATGACAGCTCGTGTCGAGAGTCGGTAGCCTAGGCCCAAAAGGCATGAGTTGGAATACAATAAGCGACGTCATGACAGTGCTACGAAAAGACACACATTAACTCTCACGCTTTTCGGTAGTCAACGGCCAATTAATATTTCGGCAGTGTAGAAAAAACAGCGTTTATCCACCATATTTTTTCCGTGATCTCTAAAGCTGCTGTTTGCTATAATTCAAGTCCGCTAAGCCTAAGGACATCTTTAATGGTTACCGGTTTAAACCCTTGTTATATTTTGGATGTTTTAACGAAAAGTTGTTTTTTATGTTATTAAATAATTGTAATTTTAAATTTTTCTTCCTGTTTTAAACGTTCTCATAAAATTATAACGATCTAAACAAGAGTTAATATTTTTTAAGTTAAGAGTTTTAGTTTGTGTTTATATTTATGAAAATAAATATTATAGGAGGAGTTTGAATGTGTAAGTAATGGCAGGCAACATTGTCACATGTGAAGAAACAGTTGCCAATGGACTTTGTATCCGGCTAATAAATAAATTTAAAAAAAAAAAAAATGAAGAAACAGTTTTTCAAATATCGGAATGTTTATTCAAAATATGTTATAGTAGGGGAGCCCACGATGCTAAATGGGGATTTACACGAGCGTAATAGAGACCTATTGGGTTGCGAAGCTTAGATAATTATAAGAAAAAATGTTTTATAAAAAAAACATTTCATCGGTGGGGGGAGCGGCTATAGACTTTCAAAAATGAAAAAAAAACTGTGAGATGGACATACTCGAGCGCGTCAGATATCGATAACATCCATGTCCTACGTATTTTTAATAATGGACGTATGTTAATCTGATTGTTTTCGTGGTGGGGGTGATCGTACGTAAGGGTTGAAAATGTAAAAAAAATTTTTTTATCGAGCGCGTCTGATTTTCTAAAGGGGTGTTAAGTGAACCTAAACAAAGCTCCCATCTAATAATCTGACGATTTGGATGTGACGCAAACTCGCGTTAAATAATAACTAAAATGAAAATAAAATAACTAAAATGCAGTAGTGATTAACGATAAATATGAAAATTAATCAATAAAATTATTATTAGTAAATACTATCACCGTCGTATATGAAACTGATTTAATAAAAACATCAAAATAATATTTGTTTATTCACACTGTTTAATTGTACTGTTACGAAACACGTGTTCTAAATATTAAAATACTAGAATATACAATTTGAACATAGTTATTATCGATTTCATGCCATCTAGAACTAACTTCATACTGATAATTTTGTGTCACGGTGCGCGCGCATCGTAAAATTTCACTCTCATAAATTTTTCATAACGCGCCTAACTTATACTATACTTCAAAAATGCTTAAAAAGAATAAAAATTAACCGGAAGAACCGGTTTACTTCGACGATATTCTAAAATATTTCTACATTTTTCTAATGTTTATAATGTAATTACGTCCCTTTTCATCACAAACAGTAAAAAACGCACAATTAAAGATAAAATTTGATTTTTTTTAAATAGGTTTACTAAACCTGGAATTAGTAGGCAGTGATGCCAGCTCAAGAATAAAATATAGTAATTAAAGTTAATTCGATATACTGTTCGTGATATTGAAATATTTGTTATTTTTGTATTAGGTTACTTGAGTAAGTAAATATGTATTTAGATTTACCTTTTTGTAGGAAAAACATAAAAAATACGTAACATTTTATTTTTGATTGCCCTCAAATGGGTCAAACTTCTCCCTTTTTCGATGGAAAACTTTTTTGGTAGCAACACTGATGAAATGTCAGAATTCTACGGAATGAAAAATCAGAGTTTAATTCATGGATTAGTTTTAGTTGTATTCGATATCTATAATCAATATATTTTATATTGTAGGTAAGTCTTTGAAATGGTTCTTTAATTTGAAAAAATACTTTAACTAACATGTAAGTTAAAGATACTTTTTTGTTGTAAACTTTATACCATTTAAGTGTATTGCTTATCATAAAGTAAAATGATGGTACATTTTATTTCTATATTTCAGATGTGAAAGCGGTCACTTATGAACTTAATTGTTCTAAATATATTATTGTAATTATATTAGAAGGTAATGATATAATATTGATATAAATTTATTAAATCAAGTGGATGTTTGCTTCATGCACTTTGGAAATATAAAATCTAGTAAACAATATTAAGTAATGGTAAGCAGACATTTTCTTTAATTATTTATTACTAAGTTAATATAGAGAAGTTTACTATAATATTAATTACTGAAATTACTGACATTTGGTTATTAAAAACTTGAATTGCTGCAACAATATGCTGCAAAGTGAGTTTTAGTGACAATTTTTAAGTTTAGAACAAAGAGCATAGTTACTAGTAGGTGTGCATCAATTTTACAAATTATTTCAAACTTTTAATATTAAAGTTGCCTACTGAATTAACCTTGGTGCGATCTTAGACAAGTTTGTCAGTTTTCTATTTGATCAAAGTACTAACAAAATTAATATTTTGTTTTCAGAAAAAGAGAATATACAGTCAAAACCGTTTACGACTACATCATTTAGAACAAAATACCAGTTATATTGACCAATATCAAAGGTCCTGGCTGAATTCTATTAGACTGCCTTATAAAAAACACCACTTTTTACGACATCGCTTATTACAAAATATATCTTTTAGCAACTACATTAAACTGATATTTTCGGAGAATTATATCTGTTAGAACAACCAGCCGTATTGTAAACATTTGAATAGGTGAGGGCAGTATCCCCTTTCCACATCTGGCACACTAAAGTGATTAAGATCGCCAAAGTAAACAAAAACAACTCCAGTTTAGGGTCTATTGTATTTCTCAGAAACAAAATAGGTACACATGTATGCAGTATAATCAAAGCGCAAGGCCCACTTTTTCATTTCTCTGTAATCAGTTTGTTACTTATCTGAAGCCTAGAAGCACCAAAACATATTGTTGAGTTAAATGTGAAACTTAACATGTCGCAAGGAAAAAGAAAACAAATTACTATAGAAGAAAAATCGCGTATTATTTCAAAGCTCGAGAGTGGAATTCCAAACAAAAACTTAGCCGTGGAATATGGTGTATCACACTCAACAATTTCAACCATTTGGAAAGAGAGAGAAAAAATTCAAACACTTTTTGAGAACAATTTATTAAAAATGAAAAGAGCAAGAACAACGAAGCATACGAAAATTGACGAAGCTTTGCTAAAGTGGTTTAAATATCAAAGTACAAATAATTTGCCAATAAATGGACCAATTCTTCAACAAAAAGCAAACGATTTTGCTCAGCGTTTTGGTGAAGATTTCGTTTGCTCGTCCAGTTGGATTCAACGTTTCCGGGCTAGGCACGGTATTGTCGGCGGGAAAATAAGTGGTGAGACTGCCAGTGCCAGACCTGCTTTATCTACTACTGAAACAGAGGAGCTTATTGATGTGGATAACTCTATTGCAATTTTTGCACCAGCTACGGAAGAAGATATTGTACAAGAAGTTCAAGAGGATAGTGACGAACAGGCAGAGACTGAAGAACAATTTACAGTGCCAACTTTGTATGATGGTCTCAATGCCGTCAATGTATTACGAAAAATTTTTCTTTTTAAAAAACACTTTCACATGCAGGGAAATTATGACAATACTTTAATTAAAATTCAGCGTGAACTACAAACTGCGTACGTACTACAGAAGTGTTTCAAATAAACTAAAAATAACAGATTTTGTTAAGGTAGAAAAATGATAATTATATGTAGTATGTTTTTGGAATACTTGGCGTCGACATATCGAACGACGTTCAGTTTCGCGGTCACTTGGAGGGAAAGGCTAAATTAGCCTCCAAAAAGCTTGGTGTGCTTAGCAAGGCGAGACGGTACTTCACTCCGGGCCACCGCTTGGAACTATATAAAGCGCAAATTCTGCCCCACTGGAGTACTGTTCTCACCTCTGGGCGGGGGCTCCCCAGTACCAGCTCCTTCCACTTGACCGTATTCAACGAAGAGCGGTTCGAATCGTCGACGACCAATCCCTTTCTGAGCGGCTTGATCCTTTGGCGTTGCGTATGGATGTGGGGTCACTCTGCATCTTCTAACGCATTTACCATGGAGAGTGTTCAGAGGAGTTGTTCGGATTAATACCTGCAGCTGAGTTTCATCATCAGACGTCGAGGCAGAATACGAAATTCCACCCGTAGGTATCACCTCGACGTCCGCCGTTCCACAACTGAGTGTTTTTCAAGGCAGTTTCTGCCGCGCACCACTTTGTGGAACCAGCTGCCCACTGAAGTATTTCCGAACCAATTCGACTTTAGGTCCTTCAAGAAAAGAGCATACCAATCCTTAAAAGGCCGGCAACGCACTCGCGAGCTCTCTGGCATTGAGTGTCCATGGTATCACTTAACATCAGGTGAGTCTCCTGCCCATTTGCCCCCTGTTCTTAAAAAAAATTCATTAGGTACTTAACAACAACGTCTTCGGCTGTTACGACTATCGGTTTTTACGACCAAATATTAGTAATAATAGATTTTGACTGTAATAAGACAACTAAAAGTATTAATAGAAACCACCAATGTACAAATTAAATTATAGTCTTTGCTTTTAATTAATCTAAGTGTTATAAATATTATGTACATGAAAATGAATGTAATAATGAGGGATCAAGTACACGATTCTATATCAATTCTATATATGAGGGACTTATGAATAATGTAAAAAAATAAGAGGAGTAAGAAATAATGGTTAGTAAAATTACCTCAAGAGCAGGAAACAGTAACTTGAACTATGTTCTTCCAAATTTTATCTTAATAAGTTCAGCAGTTTAAATGTGAATGAGATATTTATTACAAAAAAAAGTATTTGTATATTTTGGAAAGAAATCTTAACTATTATTATTTACAGTTGTTGGAAACAAGCACTATTTTTTTTAATGGCCCAGGATGTACCTTATCTTAGTAACTCGAGGGCTTTTTCTATGTTAAGTATCAAATTAATGCAGGTTAGATATTAACTTACAAAGTACCTTAACAATTTTATGAAATCATCACAGTGTTTATCGTTAGGTTTTATGAATTGAATATTTTTTGTATAGAACAGCATGCTAGGCAGGCAGAGGCATTAGCTAGTCACTTTAAGTCAATGTTTCTGGCAGATCACCCACAACTAAATCCAGCAATTGCCACTCGTAACCCAAAAGCATACCTACTCTAATAATTTTGATATCAAAAGTTTCGAAATAGAAGTTATTGCGCGTAGTGTAAATAAACTAAAATCTAGGACAGCTCCGGGTCCAGATATGATTCTGGCATATAGACTATATCGCATATTTTCAATAAAATTTTATATTCAGGGGTCTACCCACGTTATGGAACACATCCCGCTTGACCCCAGTTCCTTAAGCTGATTGTAGTAGCTAAGTCGAAAACTACAGGCCTATCGCGATTCTATGTGCGCAGGCGAAGGTTTTTGAAATGTCCTTGCACAATGCACTCATTAATGTTGCCTATATACATTCCCCACATCACTCCTTCCCAGCACGCCTTTCTTCCTCATAGATCAGTTTATAGTTAATACTAATCTATTGTCGTTGGTTGACATGGTATCGCGAGAAATAAACAAGCGGCGTCAGGTAGATGTAGCATATTTGGATTTTCGCAAAGCGTTCGATCTTGTAGACGCGCCTTTTCCGGTACCTGTACTCGCTCGGCACTGTCCCAAAGTGCTGGAAGACCGCTTTGATACATCCGATCCCTAAAAAAGGCGATCGCTCTGATCCGTCCAACTATCGCCCAATAGCTATAACCTCCTTGTTCTCCAAAATAATGGAATCCATTGTTAATTGCCAGCTCTTGAGGTATCTAGAGGGCCACCAGCTGATTAGCGATTATCAGTACGGCTTTCGTCGTGGTCGTTCGGCTGGTGACCTTCTTGTATACCTTACACATAGATGGGCAGAGGCAATTGAGTCCAAGGGGGAGGCGCTAGCGGTTAGTTTGGACATAGCGAAAGCCTTCGATCGGGTGTGGCACAGAGCACTGCTCTCGAAGCTTCCAGCCTATGGGCGTCCCGAGAAATTACGCAATTGGATCTCCAGCTTTCTGGCCGATCGGAGCATCAAGGTCGTCATCGACGGAGCATGTTAAAACCCGTAAACGCTGGGGTCCCACAAGGCTGTGTTCTATCCCCGACCCTATTTCTTCTGCATATCAATGATATGTTGAAACTTAGCAACATTCATTGCTATGCGGATGACAGCACTGGGGATACTTTTTACACTGGCCGGGCAGGTATTTCTCGGGCAATTGTTGATGAGTACCGGAACAAACTTGAAACTCTACTACGTGGAGTCTCAGATTGGGGCAGACAAAACCTAGTCCAATTTAACCCCAAGAAGACACAAGTTTGCGCGTTTTCCGCTAAAAAAACACCCTTTGTCGCTACTCCTCTTTTCGAAAACACTCTTCTTAAAGCCACAGCCAGCATTGGAATACTTGGCGTTGACATATCAAGCGACGTTCAGTTTCGTGGTCACTTGGAGGGAAAGGCTAAATTAGCCTCCAAAAAGCTTGGTGTGCTCAGCAAGGCGAGACGGTACTTCACTCCGGGCCACCGCATGCAACTATATAAAGCGCAAATTCGGCCCCACATGGAGTACTGCTCTCACCTCTGGGCGGGGGCTCCCCAGTACCAGCTCCTTCCACTTGACCGTATACAACGCAGAGCGGTTCGAATCGTCGACGACCAATCCCTCTCCGAGCGGCTTGATCCTTTGGCGTTGCGTAGAGATGTGGGGTCACTCTGCATCTTCTACCGCATTTACCATGGAGAGTGTTCAGAGGAGTTGTTCGGATTAATACCTGCAGCTGAGTTTCATCATCGGACGTCGAGGCAGAATACGAAATTCCACCCGTATCACCTCGACGTCCGACGTTCCACAACTGAGCGTTTTTCAAGGCAGTTTTTGCCGCGTACCACCACTATGTGGAACCAGCTGCCCACTGAAGTATTCCCGAACCAATTCGACTTAGGGTCCTTCAAGAAAAGAGCGTACCAATTCTTAAAAGGCCGGCAACGCACTCGCGAGCCCTCTGGCATTGAGAGTGTCCATGGGCGGCGGTATCACTTAACATCAGGTGAGCCTCCTGCCCGTTTGCCCCCCGTTCTATAAAAAAAAAAAAAAAAGACAATGACATTTTTCTCCAAAAGTTAGCTGCAATTGGATGTGGACCTGTTCTGCTTGAGTTTTTTTCTAGTTACCTATCAAATCGTTACCAATATGTTAAATATGGGCAATATATCTCGCAGCCTTATCCAACAAGTTCTGGTATTAGCTAGGGTTCAAACCTGGGACCCTTTCTATTTTTGATAATGTTTAACGACCTACCAGGCGTTATTAAATCTTCCAAAGTTCTATTATTTGCCGACGACCTTAAGGTTTTTTAAAATAGTTAAGAAAAACAATGACTATGTGTATGCAACTTGATTTGGATAAACTGCTGCATTGGAGTAAATTAAATAAACTCCCCCTTAACTTTGAAAAATGTGAAGTGATGACCTTTGGTGCCTCTCCGAATAAAATACTCTGCGACTATAGCATAGGGTCAAAAGTTAATAGACGCGTAGGCAAAGTCCGCGACTTTTTTCACTAGAACTTCGTAGGGATTAAGCTGTAATCAAATTTGGCTTAAGCATAATTAAAAACGAATCGGAAAGCGCATACTTGCTGGGAGAGATAATGAGACTGTACGTTCCCGACAATTATTACCGCTAGCGCACCTTTTTGCTGTAGGTACATTCGGTTCGCACTGTCCAGCGTCAACAAGCTCCCATTCCCTGCTTACTCTCGCTGCTTAATGGGTTTCTCGACTCTTCACCGGAGAGTGACCTATTTGTGAAGCGTATGGGGTAATATACTGTAATAGGTATAATGTACTTGGAAAATATTAATGGATAGCAAAAGGTTTTCTGTAAATTTTGTAAAATAATTTAGTTCTAGGTACTTATAATATTTAGTTTTACATTATTTTTAGTTAAAATTTGGCCATGCATAGAATGTAAATCAATAAATAAATAAATGCTAGCAAGATATTGATGGCTTTTGACTGCCCATTATCACTTACGTTTACTCTTTTTTTTTCTCCTTTTGTTATCAGCAATCGACTTTACTTAGTCATAATCTGTTGTGTTCTCTTTATGGATTATACTGTGTGGCTAATGTTCCAGTGAACATCATGCCAATCACTAGTCCAGGTTTAGAATTTGTTTTCTCTTAAGTCTGATTAATCTTCTTTACTATCTAGAAGGTTTATACACTATATTGCTATGTTCCTAAAGCCTGTTCATGTATCTTGTACTAAGAGCATTGTTTCTTTTATAGTTTCCGTTTCCAGGTGTTCGTGGATTTCAGTGTTTCTAACAAACCAACGAGCACTGGATATGGTTATCAGAGCGATATTTTGAAATCTTTTTCATTCTTTCTCGCCTGTCGCGCCACGTTTATTAGTAAATTATGATTTTTCGGTTTTTAAATAGGTACATGTACAAATATGAATACATCTACATTACTAATGCATTTAATATAATTCACCTATGTGTGTTTAGCAGTGTTAATTAGTAAAGTTTTTGTATTGTATAATAAGTTGTTATTTATTATGTGCTTATTTTTCTATTTATACTACGCAATATGTTAAGGTAGATAGTCAACAGAGGTGCCTAACTTAAATGAAAAATAACAATTACTGAAAAATGTTTTCTTCTACAACCTTTATCTTTATTAATAATAATAATTTATTGCCAGAATATGATACAAAAATGTTAAGGTGGTACAATCGAAAGTTCGCATATTCTGCCCTACATAATAGCGTGCAAATTTGTCTTAAAAGGAATTTTACATTATGAGTCATATTAATTAGTCAATTATTATATTATTTGTATCATACATATCATATCATACGTTATCAAATTAATATTCTTTATAATGTTTCACGCCAAAAGTAGTACATTAAGTAATTGATTTTTTAAAAACTAGTCGGAAGATCTTTTCATGTACCATAAACCTTGATTGCCATACCAAAGGTGTTTTTCCTTTACAATTTCTCCCCATGTCTACTTCGACAGATGTTTATTCCCGTTGACTTAAAAATACATAATATGTATATTTTTGTGAACGAATAAAACATTTCTAAAATATTGTTACGAAGATAGGTTCAATGAACTGTTTCTCGATTTTTCCACAAGTTAGAGACAGTAAGTTGAAATGTGATTTATAGCCCTTTCAGGAGAGGCTCTATCAAATAATATGACAAAATTGTAATTTGCATAATGTTACCCTCGTCTTCAGGAGGCCAAAACATGTGCAGTCAAGTGATACAGTTTTTAGTAAACCCGTTTTCAGGACTAGTAATTTCGATATACTGTTCGTGATATTAAAGTATTTGTTATTTTTGTATGACTTTTTGGTCACTTGAGTAATAATACGTAGAATTTTATTTTTTATTGCTCTCAAATGGGTAAAATTGTCCCTTTTTTGGTGGAGAACTTTTTTAGTAGCAACACTCATGAAATGTCAGAATTCTACGTTATGAAAAATCTGAGTTTACAATGTTTTCTTTTAAGGAATGACACATTACACTACCCAAAATTTAGACATTCAGACATATGCCAAACTCACTAAAGTGTCTCGAAATTTGTTATCTATACTTCTTCAATCCCCACTCGCCATTATATTACTTATTATTCTGTAATCTAGAGAAAAAAGAATAACTCATATATTAATATTATATAGATAACATTTTAGATAAACATTTTAAATCTTAATTCTTAACAATTTGTTTGAAATGTGACGTGACCTTAAACGAACTAAGTCTAAGAACAAGAACAGTTTTAAAATTTCTAATATCATTTAATAAATTTAATTGAAGTTCAAGGGAATAAACTGCGACTTATTTATATTATGCTAGTTGACACTATTGATAAAACTTTAATTTCTACTTATTCTTTTTATCTGTCAGTCTGCTAAAATGCCCGAAATCAAAATAACACCTTTGGGAGCTGGTCAGGATGTCGGACGAAGCTGTATTTTGTTGTCAATGGGTGGTAAAAATATCATGCTGGATTGTGGTATGCACATGGGCTACAATGATGAACGACGGTTTCCTGACTTTTCGTATATTGTTCCCGAGGGTCCAATAACGAGTCAAATAGATTGTGTTATTATATCGCATTTCCACCTTGATCACTGTGGCGCTTTACCTTATATGTCAGAAATGGTAGGATACACGGGTCCTATTTATATGACGCATCCAACCAAAGCCATAGCTCCAATTCTTCTAGAAGATATGAGAAAGGTAGCTGTTGAAAGAAAGGGTGAGTCAAACTTTTTTACATCACAAATGATTAAAGACTGTATTAAGAAAGTAACAGCAGTAACCCTTCACCAATCTGTAATGGTTGATAATGAGTTGGAGATTAAAGCATATTATGCAGGCCATGTTCTTGGGGCTGCTATGTTTTGGATCAGAGTAGGCTCACAGTCTGTGGTTTACACTGGTGATTACAATATGACTCCTGATCGACATTTAGGTGCAGCATGGATAGATAAATGCCGCCCTGATTTATTGATATCAGAATCAACATATGCAACTACCATAAGGGATTCCAAACGTTGTCGTGAAAGAGATTTTCTTAAGAAAGTCCATGAATGTGTTGAAAAGGGTGGCAAAGTTTTGATACCTGTGTTTGCTTTAGGAAGAGCACAAGAATTATGTATTCTACTTGAAACTTATTGGGAAAGAATGAATTTAAAGTACCCAGTGTATTTTGCTCTAGGCTTAACTGAAAAAGCAAATAATTATTACAAAATGTTTATTACATGGACAAATCAGAAGATTAGAAAAACTTTTGTTCAAAGGAACATGTTTGATTTCAAACATATCAAACCTTTTGATAAATCCTACATTGACAATCCTGGTGCAATGGTAGTATTTGCTACACCTGGTATGTTGCATGCTGGCCTGTCTCTCAATATTTTCAAAAAGTGGGCACCATATGAACAAAACATGCTAATCATGCCTGGTTTTTGCGTCCAGGGCACAGTTGGGCATAAAATATTAAATGGAGCAAAGAAAATTGAATTTGAAAATCGCCAAGTTGTAGAAGTTAAGATGGCAGTTGAGTACATGTCTTTTTCTGCACATGCTGATGCAAAAGGCATCATGCAGTTGATACAGTATTGTGAGCCAAAGAATGTGCTTCTTGTCCATGGAGAAGCTCAGAAAATGGAATTTTTAAAGGATAAAATTGAAAAAGAATTTAGTATAAATTGTTACATGCCAGCAAATGGGGAAACTGCAGTAATTAACACACCAACAAAGATACCTATAGATGTGTCCTTAAGATTACTCAAAGCCGAAGCAGTGAGATACAATGCCCAGCCCCCAGATCCAAAAAGAAGAAGAGTAGTTCATGGAATACTTTGTGTTAAAGACAACAGATTGTCCTTCCTAGATATTGATGAAGTTTGTGAAGAAATTGGTATAAACAGGCACATAATCCGCTTCACTAGCACTGTTCGTTTTGATGATCCTGGTCCTGCCGTCAAAACGGCTGAGAAATTAAAAGGCTTACTAACTGAAAAATTGCAAGGATGGTCTATAACTATATCGGATGGTAATATATCTGTTGAATCTGTTCTGATCAAAGTTGAAGGTGAAGATGAAAGTACAAAGAATATTTATGTGTCTTGGACAAATCAAGATGAAGATTTGGGGAGTTACATTTTGGGATTATTACAGTCTATGGTACAGTGATAGACAATAAGAAAAGATGTAGTTAATGTTTATTTTTGGAATTAAATTGTTTTAGAGCACTGATGTTTATTTATATTTAAACACACCATGTAGTGTCAATATTACATTTTCCTTGATACCATAAATGCTGTATCCTGTTTATTTGGCTTAAATGGTTCATATTTCTTTCTATATCATTTTGAAGCTGAAAATGGAAAATTGTTTAGTTAATAAAACCACAATATAATATGATCACCGGCGGTATATATAGAAGAGAATATTTGCTAACCATAGTTGGAGGAAATAATCTTCTAAAATCGCCTTTATGTAAATTTTCTCTATGTGCCTTAAGTAAAGCCTTTTTCAGCTTAGGCGTCAGGCAAGGTTTGCACAAAACGCAAACAGATTTCGCTTCGCAGTTATCCTTACATATTGTGTTACATTCCTTACTAAACACTGCAATGTTTTTCTGGGCTGATATCATATTATTCACTGTTTGGTTGCTGGAAATATAATGGAATTACACATATTGGTAGGAATTAATGCCGCCTTTAAACAACTACAAAAATACTACTTTTATGAGTATTAAAGATAGTATTTTTTTATTATATATATAATGCTAAATAGAGAGGATACCTAATATATATCATAAATCAACAACTTTTTGCTGTACTTCTCCTGATAGTGTAGTACGTGTCTACGTGTTTCAAAATAGTGCCCAAAATTAATATTTTCGTTCGCCGAAAGGGGTTTAATGCTTATGCAAGCGATGTCTTGAATTTACGATCCCTTCAAATGTTGCCCCTAAATAAAAAATTTCGCCAAAAATATATTACGTCCTTTCATCTTCATCATTTTTTTGAACTAATCAATATCATATGAAAAATTATAATATAAAAATAGAATAACGAATTTTAGTGCGGTTTATCAGTTTTCCAAATTATTGCTATTTTACTCCTACCAAATTTTTTCGAAGAAAATAAAATGTTAATAATATGTTAAAAAATTAAATTAAATTTACCTGGTACTATCCACATAACTAGCAACACCAGTCAAAGAGAATAGATTATATAAAACTTGTTCATAAAGCATTTGGTTCTGCGGGAAATGTGCAGAACTCAAGTTTGGAGACATATTAGCTTCAAGCATGTAGACCTTTAGATTCTCATCCACTATCAAATCAAAACGCATCATTTCGAAGAAATTGTCTTTGTAATTATATTTCTTCAGCTGAAAAGTAATTTTTTATTTTTGTCTATATTCTCGTCTATTTGGCAGTGTATAGGACGAACCTTCCCATTTCTTTATATACCTTCATATATTTATTAATTTAACATTTAATTGAAATAATAAATAAGACATTATATAAACAGCAGTTTTTGGAGAGCAAAGAGCGGCCTTATAGCTAAAACTTCATCACCTGCAGTAAACACAAGCTTAATATAAAAGATAGGCTATACACAAAATACGAAACATATATTTTAAATGAGAAATTAATGTATTTCTGTGTGCAATCACGTCTTTACTGAACCGATTTAAATGAAATTTGTTTCATAGATAGTCTAGAGCCTGGTTAGGCTAATTTTTTGTGCGAAGGGCTGTAATGGGATGAAATTTTGTATGGAAATTACGTAATTTTTTAATCTAGCAGCTTGAAACTATAAATACATGCAACGTTTATGTTTGTAAAAACTTTACCTCAAAGTGAGTAAAATAAGGAACGAAAGATTTGTGATTTCAATGTACTTACAGCCTCAATAACATAATGTTCATTCTTTACGAAAACCTCGGTGATTGCTTTTTGAATTTCTTCCCACATATTCTCCGTATCCAAACCCTAAAACAAACATAATTGAATAAATCAACGCCTAAAAATGTACTTCTTCTTTGAGTTCTTTGAATGACACATTAAAATAAAGGATATGACTACGGAATAAATTCTTCTATAAAAACATAAATATGTGTCGAGTTTTAGTCAAACATACTTAAAACTTCAAATTTCTACACAATGACAGCCTAGTCCGCCTAGCTAACGCAAAATAAATATATCAGTGGCGCTACAACCTTTTTAGGTCTAGGCCACAGATTTCTTTATCTGTTTCATGATCATTTGTCAATCTAATAGGCAAGTAAGTGATCAGCCTCCTGTGCCTGACATACGCTGTCGATTTTTGGGTCTAAGAAAACATCGTGTGGAAACCGTTCCACACGATGTTTTCCTTCACCGGTCGAGCGAATGTTAAATGCGAATATAGAAAGAGAGCACATTGATGCACAGCCGGGGATCGAACCTCGACGAATATATAATTTCGTTATCGTTAAAACTAGAAGCCTGGATTTGGCCAAGTCAAGGTATTTATTTTAAACATAAAAGTTTTGTTATATTGATATGGCCAGTATAAGATGTTGTTAGGTTAGCTTATTACGTAAATTAACCGACTTGGTATTACATGGATCTCACAACTTTTTACGGTAAAAGAACTGCGTTGAGAAACTGAGTTTTTCTACTAGTTATGTTTTTGACGGCATTGAGTTGTCCTGATGGATATTCACATACAATTTGTACTTTTGTGCCTTTACAGAAAAGGTTACCGGTGTTATTTCTTAATATTTCAATAACATCAAATCGAAGTTCACCTAATAAATAAACATTTATTAGCATCTTTTAATTTAAAAGTTTAGCGACCTTAATATAAAGCGTGGACTAAAAATACTATTGTGAATACCAAGTCAACTATTTAATTAAGAAAAATCTAACAATATTAACGAACACGGTATCTTAGTTCACGTTTTTTAAACTGCAGTATTTTTAACATTTGCGTGTGTACCTTAGAGTTTGCATAGTGGTCAAATGCATCCTTCATACCAAAACCCAGAGTTGTATAGGGATGTACCATAGACGGGAGCTCCCAAGTAGGCAAGTAATCATCCCCTATGACGTATTTATCAACATTCTTTGGGTCAAATGGGTAATATTTTTCTGGACAATATCTGCAAAAATATCAACACTAGACCTAAAAGTGTAATTTTAGCTCTTAAGATGTCTAAGTAAGGTAAGGTAAGTAAGGTAAGTACTTTAGGTAAGACTCAGAAGTCAGATTGAAAGATGTTCCATGAAATACGCAAAAATGCGTCATTGAGGCCATGCGTGACTTTATTGTATAAAAAATAAATAAATCAGTGGCGCTACAACCTCTTTAGGTCTTGGCCTCAGATTTCTGAATCTGTTTCGTGATCATTTTTAAATCTACGTCGACTTTTTGGGTCAGCCATGTCGGTTTCCTCACGATGTTTTTCTTCAACGTTCGAGCGAATGTTAAATGCGCACATAGAAAGAAAGTCCATTGGTGCCGGAGATCGAACCTACGACCTCAGGGATGAGAGTCGCATGCTGAAGCCACTAGGCCAACACTGCTCTTTATTGTATAAACTTAGGTATAAAACCAGTGCTGCTGACCTTGGTCTTGGCTTTTGATATCGTAATCTGTTTGATGATATTTATTTAAAACGTAAGCAAGTGATCGGCTTTTTGTGCACGTGCCGTCGATTTTTAGATTTAGGACTTGCTGGTGTCCCTCACGATTTTCCTTCTACGAGCAAGTTGAACGCGCACATATAATGAAAAGTCTATTGGTGCACAGCTGAGGTTCGTACCTACGATCTCAGGGACAAAAGTCGTACGCTCAAGCCTTAAGGTCATCGAAGGTAACGTAAAAAATAACCTAGAAATATCTTATCATTTTATGAGATAAGTATGAAATCCTTGGTAATGTATTAGTTGTCAAATATACACAATAATAACCAATGTTATCTATAATCTTCCATTCATAAAGTAATAGCCATTCAAGCCAGAAATAGTAACGTATATTTTATTACTTTTCTTCCTTATATGTCCGAATCATGCTAACCGTTTAGTAAATGGGTTTGACATTATATATATAACATTATACAAATATAGTTCCTTCATTAGAAAAAGCATTTACTAATCTATTATTATTTTTTTATTTATTTAAGAAAGCTGGCCAACGCTTGGCATACTGTTACTTTGGTACTTAAGAAAAATAATATACAAGATAAAATGACAACCACTTAGGCAAACATAACATACACGAATAAATAAATATAAATAATTATAAAAAGTATAGAAAAATAAATTTCAAAGTGTGAGGGGAGTATCTATGGATATTCAGACCTAGCTCGTTTATCAGAATTTAATTTAATAAATTTCTGATAAATTTATCAGAAATGTATTTAGTATTGATTATATCGGTGAAGGGACTAACTTCAAATGAGGGCGTGGTTCGAAAAAACATGAATAAAGATCTGGTTTAAAGTTCCCACAATAAGGGAAGCAAGGGAATATGACTGCTATTTCTATTTTTTTATAGGCAAGAAGAGATTTATTATTACGTGTCTTGCTAGTTGGTTTTCTCTTGAAGTTATCATCAAGTAATTGTTATTTGCTTACGAAGAAATATATTCAATGGTGCACAACGGGGGTCGAACCCACGACCTAGAGCTACTCTCTAAATTTTCATAACATTTTGCATATATATATATATACCAGATGCCCTGATTAATTAATATCAATAAATACCTGAATAGGACGTCGCCCTTGTACCAATACACTCTGAGAGGATCCACCGATGTCAAAGCAACATACACGCCAATATCAAACTTATGTCCATCCACCAAAAACGGGTTTTGGACAAATTCCTGTACAAAACTTTCGCCATTATTCAAATCAATTTCGCTCACGTTCTTCAAGTACACACCTCTGTGCTGATTGTGCTTTTCCAAAAACAATGCGTTTCTATTATCTGCGACATATTTCAAAAAATCCTCTTTGCTCTTTGGTAATTTAAACGCCTTTGGTATATATTTCGAATCCGATGTTGCCAGATTAACTTTGTTCGTTATAAACCCTGTTCCCGGGAAATGATTGACTTTTTGGTTTGGTTTCAAATTTTGTATTATTGTGTATAGCGATCTAAAAGGATAATCGTGTGACCAAAGTAAGTTCCATGTTTTATTAGTTTTCTTCTCGTAACCGAGGCGTTCTAATACCGAATGTACATGTTTGAGGATACCATTTTTATTATCTACATCGTTGAATGCGGAATATACCCAGTAACTTCGGTTGTCATCTTTGGTTATTCTATTTTGTACGTTGATTATTTCTAGAGCGATGCCCAGAGACACTCCAATCACACATACAAGGAATATTAAATGAATGCTCGCGTCATTTGTTTTGTTCTCTTTAGTTATAATGTTGTTATTGATATTTCTTTCTGATACTTCTGCCTGTTTCACCTGAAAAAAATAGATGAATTTTTAAATGAAACAAACGTGTTAATGATCTTCTATGTTCCTTTTGAACCTACTTTAAACCCGAACGATGAAATAAATAAATTACCATCGTTCAATACATTTAATTCTCTTGGTAATATAAGACCATCAACATGAATAAGAAATATTCCGATTACTATTATATTGCTTTTCATTACAAACATACAATATAATAATTATTGTTATTATATTAAGGTAACTAACCTAACCCTAACCCTAATATTAGGGAATACAGATAACTTATTTCCAATTTTTTTTGGAAATTTACGATCAATTCTAAAAAACTTTGGATTTGTTTTCCAAAAAAAAGGTTTGTTCCAAGTATCAATTCTCATTACCTATGTCAGTAATTATTATTTTAGAGCGTAGTGGGGCTTACGTATACACAAAGAAGGTTTAATAAGAAACTTTTTTTTTTACTAGGTTAATGAATATGTAAGTCCGGATTATTTAAACTATGGAGTCAACAGTGACTTAACCAACTGTTAACATACAAAAGAAGGCAATCTTCTTATTAAAATATGTATAATTACTTTTAATTATATTGATACTATTTCAGTGAGTTTAAAGATTTTCCATTTAAATTTTAAAACATTGAAAGACACTTACATCCTGCTTTTTATTCTTCATTATCAAAACGTTGTATCAATCATTTAATTTACACTTATCTTTTTCCAGAGGTTGAATATGTTCTTACAAATTTAACTTTAAAATATATTCGCGCGGAAACCTGCGCTCAAGCAAAGTTATCGACATATTATGAGCTGCGGAAGAAAGTGAGTAGACAGAGAGGTTTTAGCTATAGAGAGAGACAGAATACACTTTCTAAAACAGTAATGTGAACTTTTACTATTTTAGGTCACATCTTCATAACCGTAAACGTAGTATAGTAACTTATAGAATAAACAAATGTTTACAGATGGTGACAGTACACTATGCTCAAAGACAAGACTAGACTCAATGTGACAAGTCGTAAGATAAAATGGTTGTTCTCTTCTCTTTTATTATTTGCTATTTGTGTGACAATAATCGACTAGTAGACATTTTATGAAATAATAAATTTAAAAACGTTACTAAACCTATTAAGTATTTTTAATTATTGTTTATTTTCGTAATTGTTTATTTAATAAATACGAAAATAAATTTATTAATAAAACAACCCAGAGAAAAAAATATCGACCATGTAGAAAATAATACAAACAAAACAGGGGCCCCACACCCCTTTTTGGGTGCCCCCCCCTCTTTTTTTAGTAATTTATTAATAAAAGGCATCAGCCTCCTGTGCTTGCACCCAATGTTTTCCTTCACATTTCGAACGAATGTTTGAAAATTTCACACATTATCACTTTCACATAGATAAAAGTCCATTGGAGCACAGCCGGGGATCGAACCTACGACTTGAAGGATGAGAGCGCACGCTGAAGACACTAGGCCAACTTATTTTTATGAGTAAAACAGGCTCTTAAATATAGCTTGTGTTAGAGTAAACCAAAAGTAGAAACCTATCACAAACTCATATGAGAATGTTAAATTACGGTACAGAAATTTCTATGATAACTTTTCATTAATTGCGCCTCTAGAAACATCAGGCACTCTTGCACGGGTTCTAACCCATGACTTCAAGGTTGAAATACGCCAAAAGACCACATGGTTCCAGTTATAATTCGTTCGCATACGAACGGTAATACTCGCACATGTTCGAAGCATACCATTCTGATTGTACAACTTGCGGTTAGCCAAACAATGCTTTCGATAGGACTGTTTGGCATGTCCACAGAGCAAGTATAAATATAGATAATATATACCGCTAAATACGTAAGGTAGACTAAATAACTAGTTATTATTAATAATAATTTTAGCCTATTTCTGTTACTTTACACTTAAACAGATTTATATTTCTATCAGCTCTATTTATTTTCAGATATCTGTCTACCGTATTTTGGCAAAAGTCTTTACAAGTTATTTATATACCAAAACCAGCTGCCCACTGAAGTATTTCCTTACCACTTTGACTTAGGGCCCTTTAAGAAAAGAGCTTACCAATTTTTAGAAGGCTGGAAACACACTCGCGAGCCTTCTGGCAATGTGAGTGTCCATGGGCGGCGGTACCACATCAAGTGAGCCTCCTGCCCGTTTACCTCCTATTACATTAAAAAAGAAAACAAACACTATATTGAGTTTGAGTTGAGATTTCACCCCAATTCCATGAAATTGCCTACAAAACTAAATTTTAATCTAACAATATGATTACTTTGAATAAAGAATGAAATATATAAAGTAACAAAAAATGAGGTTTTATTAAAAATATGTTCTTTACTTTATAGCCCATGTAGTCTGTTTAGTGAATATACTGAGTACAAGCCATATTAATTAGAAACTACGATAAAAATCTTATTAGTAATCGCACAATAGATATGAAATAATCAAGTAGTCAAACAAACGATAAGATGGTACTATCTGTTTACAGTCGCAGACAGGCCGACCGGCGCCTTTTGTTATTGTCGTAATATTTTATTTGTGTACACACATCGATATTTAAAATGTATTGTGACTTCATTTCTTAAAACAATTCAAGTTTTTTTTTTCATAGTTTGGCATAGTAGAACGATCACAATGACAGGCTTTAAATACAATATAATTTTTGAGTAGATAATTTTAGTTTGTTTTTCGCTACTAAAGCATTTAAAATCATATCACGAAACTAATTATAAATGTCCTAAAAATCCATCAATCTTTGAGTCTTCTCGAACCTTTCGAACCCACTAGGGCATTCGGGCAAGCCAGTTAGTGGCTGGACTCGTCAAATCCTACCTTGAGGTCGGAGCACGGGCACAACTACCTTCCTCCACGCCCTTATGATGAATATAGATACCTATTATTTGGAAACCACAAATAGTTAACAACACATTATGTGTACACATAAAATTAAGTCAACTAAGCATATGAGTAATTTTACATTACAAAATTTACATTAAAAATAGCAAAAAGTGATCATAAACTAAGAAGAAAATTGTAAATATCTAATTATTTTTATTATTACTATGTAGTTTAAAATTGTTAATACTGTATATTTTATTGTTATGTTTAGTTACATGAATAAATTATTACATAGAAAGAAAATATCACCAGTGTAATAGTGTAATAATCACTCGTGTCCCTTAAATTATGTGACAAAATCTTAATATATATAAATTACGTGTCACGTTGTTTGTCTATAGACTCCTAAACTACTGAACCGATTTCAATCAAATTTGCACACCGTGTGCGGTTTGATCTAACTTAAAAGATAGGATAGCTTACATCTCAATTTATACCAGCAATATTATTTTATTGCAAATTATTTGTTTATTATTTGACAGCCACAATTCTAACAGATGGCGCTGTGTTGAAAGTACCAACGTTTCACATAAGCTACAATTTAATGGCATCACCACCAAAAAAGCATGGTGGTCCCCATGACGGGTGTTCTCCTACCGTTTCCCTTGAATAGGTTACTACTATGTAATATAACAAAAACCTTAGCCACAGCAACGCTTGGCCGACGCTGCTAGTATTCTATATTATATATATATTCAGCATTTGAGCATCGCTGAGCGTCAAAGTTAGTGCAGACTATGATAGTAAACTTTGCGGACAATGGAACTCGGCTGTGAGGCGTCGCGGCGTCTGCGGAGACATCGATCGTACGCACCCGAATCGCACAGGAATACGGTGTCCATGACACAGGCTAATTTGAATAAGCATGAAAATAATAATAATAAATATGCTATAAGTAAAAGGTACAATGAAAGACAATTCTTAAGCTTTGGTGTAGATAATCTTGAGCCGTGGGGTTCAAGTGCACAGACGCTAATTAAAGATTTAAGTCGGTGCCTGTTAGATAGTACCGTTGATCCCAGAGCTGGTGCTTTCCTCGCTCAACGAATAAGTATCGCAATACAGCGAGGATATGCTGTCAGTATTAAAAAAACACTGCCACAGGGATCAAACTCTTTTAATTTGTTTTTAAAAAATTTATCCATTTTACACCACCACCACCATGTGGAACCAGCAGCCCACTGAAGTATTTCCAAACCAATTCGACCTATGTAAGAAAATGCCTTACTAATTGTTAAAAGGCCGGCAACGCAGTTGCGAGCCTTCTGGCCGCATGGGCGTCGGTATCATTTAACATCAGGTGAGCCTCCTGCCCGTTTGCCTATTACATAAAAAAAAGGGATAATGTAATTTTTACATTATATTATGTTATATTTATATTTTTAATTTTATTACATTCGAATCAAAGTCTTTGAATTTTTACTGGGAAAATCCTAAAACTATGGCAACCCCACACAAACAGCGCGCGACAAACCGGCGCCAATACTTCTGCGATACAATAGTTCGGGAGCTTTCAGTGCTGAGCTTTCCATTACGTACTCTGCTTTATTTTTATTGCGAACTTTAACCGACGCAAGTGGTTTTGTTGCTGATAGCGTTATGTTTAGTTTATTCAATTTAAACGGTAAAAATTTACACTTATTTAATTTAAAACAAATATTTATAATATGTTAATGTTTTTCTGCACGACATTAATAATTACTGTCTTTTTATTATTACTATGTAGGTTAAGAATATTGTAAATACTGTATATTTGTGTTGGAAATAAATTATATAATAATAAAAAAACATTACTGTCTAATAAATCTTTAAAGCTGGCAGTATTTCCCCGCTGTACTGCGATGCTAATACGTTGTCCAAGAACAGCACCGTCGCTAACGTCACCGGTACTGTCTACCATGTACTTACTTGAATCTTTAATTTGTGTCTGTCCTTATAACGTTTTACAAGGGTCTCGAGGGTTAAATAATAATCACTCTGTGCTCACTCGACTAAGAATCGTGAGCGATTAAAAAGAGTGGCGGAGAGTTTATTGCCAGTTCTTCTTTTCCGTTCTACGCCCTTGATTTGAGAACTGGCAGTAAATGAAAAGCATTTCATATATTTCTTTTTGTGGACGTTCATAAGTGTACATTGTGTTACTTATATAAATAAATGATTTTGACTCGAGTAGTAGGTATACTAATATGAATTGTAGTAACGATTTAATAAATTTCAAGAAATAATATTTTAAGTGCTACGTTAGAATTAATTAATAAACAATTAGCTGTAGCTGGCCATAGATAGCATTAGGCTCTAGGCATTAGGACTTGACGGCTCTTCTCAGACTACTTCCTGTCAGTGATAATTTAACGATTCAAAAGTGCTTTGTAAAAAGATTATTTGATTTGTCTTTGATATTAAAATATTGTATTTTCCAACTTTGATTTGGCTCCCTTTGAAGTAGAGAGACTCTTGGGCCGTTGGGTTCAAGTGCACAGGCGCTAATTAAAGATTTAAGTTGGCGCCTGGTAGATAGCACCGGTGACTGAGCTGGTGTTTTCCTCGCAAAGTATCGCAATACAGCGAGGAAATTCTGCCAGTTAAGGGTTCACTGCCACAGGGTCAAAACTTTTTAAATTTGCTTAAATTTTAACTTTTTTTAAAGAATAATGTATCTTAAATCAGTTAATAAACAGTTCTATTTTTACTAATACATCGTAGACATAATAAAAATGGAGTGGCACAACACTGTAAACGTCACTTCAGATTTTTTAGTTTTATTCGTCTAATTAACACTTCGAAAATTTAGCATACTATATTTAATCAGGAGGGCATCGATAAGCGATCTCTTTCTACATGGACCTAGTAGGCAAAATTATTCCTGAGGTAAAGTGGGTAAAAAATTTGTAACAAATTTTAACTTCATATGTTGTTATCAGTATTAGCGGTATACAGTTAATTGTGCACATAGATAGATAGTTCAATCAGCATAGGACCAAGGCATGGTCTCTAGAAAAAAATATTTTAATGTACGTCAAATTCGATACCTAATTGAATAGGTAATTTCTCTTTGATCTTTTCATTTGTATTTCTAGACCCAGGAATTCGTATTTTCAAGATATCCTTGACAATTGCGAAAGTCAATATTGGCGGAACGAAAATGTATTTTTGGGTAGGTTATATGTATTGAATACATTGAACTTTTTTTATTTAAATATTTACGATTCGCCATAAGACATACTTCTATTGAGGGGCTTCAGTTTTTACAAATACCGTAGAGTATGTATTATGTCAACTGTACCTAGTATTCAAAAACGTTTTAAACTTAATTTAATTAAGAGCTAGGTAAACAAAAACACAATTGTAATTATGAAAAAGTTGATTTATTATTAATATAATTATAATAATTATTATAATACAGTTTACAATAATTACAAGCGATCACCAAACGCGGTGAAAGAAAACGGCATATTAAATTATTTAGGCTCGAAACAAACGAGTCGCGTCGGCGTGACATGGCGTGCGTCGCTTTCTTTTCATCACAGACGCGGATACAAGGCAATTTGGCATGTTGTCGAACTTTAGCTCAAACAACGGACCTCGGAACCACGCCTGCGATATAATAGCGCGATAAATGTCCAAAGCACAATATCCGCCGACGCGAGTCGTCTGCGTGTCACCATTTGATTTAGGATATAGTCTTTGAACGCGAGGAACAAAATGTTACACAAGTCGAGAATATTATTTATAATCGATTCTGATTAAATCGGATTCGAGCGGCAAAGCAGGGAGCGGGGCGGGCGGCGTAGGCTATTTACAGGCCGCTATGGGCAGTCGCACTCTTCCACAACCATTTCGGGCAGGTCGCGTTTGATGATGTTCGAGTCGGCGCCGAAGTAGATGAGCGACAGCGCAGAGAAGCGCACCGGCGCACAACACGCGGCGCGCTCCAGGCGAGCTGCTTCTACCACCTGTCACATTAATCGTTGAATTAAAATTATTAAAATTGTATTAAAACGATGATAAATACGATGATATTTATATAAAAATAATGAAGAAACTTATAATATGTACGAATTATACCTGCGAGTGATAATTGAGGAATGGCTCACACGCCCCGCGGCAATAATTGGCATAATAGCCCTCGGGTGCGACGATCCAGTCATCCCATCCGAGTGCGCGGAAGCTCACGTAGTACGTCTGTCGACAACAGCGCCCATGGCCGGCAGCATCGCAATCTAGGGCTCGGCGACGACGAGGAGCGTGAGGTGCCAGTCGCAGTCGCAACAAGGGTCGCGCTGACGCCGCGCCGCCCAGTCGCAGGCGCACGCGACCGGCGCATCCACTGCAGTCCAGTAACAACCGCAGAGGCTCCCGCGCTCCTCCCGCGGCCCATCGGCGTGCTACTGATGTTACATCCAGTCTTTGCCAACCACGACCACCACCCGTTAACCCTGAAATAATGTTTCTTACTTTATTAGGTTATTTGACTTAATCGGTTAAAATTAATTGAACATTGACCAACTGCTGATACGGCCCACGTGGTAGTTCTAAATTTTAATAGGTGAAGGTGCGCGATACAGTTCACAAGAGTAATATTATGTATGTGTGAATAGGTGTAAGTAGTATTTAAGATATTGTTTTTGAACAATAAATGACATTTGAATATTGCTCTGTCTTATTAATTTCTCGCTTCCTCTCAAAGTGGCGAAGACTACTTCAAGCCCTTAATTATCGTGGTGAGCCTGCCTGATAGCTTTGAGATAATCCCATCACCTTGAACCTTGATCCTACCAGTAGGGCTCCGTCTGTTACCTTAGGTCTCTTTGGTGCAGACATCCGGTACTTATTTATATATTTATGTTTTAGTATACATTTATAGGGCTTAGGGATCCGTTGGGTTGTTAGGTTCTTACATCTCACCCTCTAATATATTTAGTTTTCTAGTGCAGCTTGCCTACAGACTACATACTATACAGATACTCCTGGAATCTTAATTATTTTGCAGCGTGAAGAGCGGAATTTATTAAAATAAAATGTCTCTAAAGAGATTTAAGAAGAACAACGAATAAACAAACCTCCTACTTCTGTAGCACCAGCCATTTCCCCAACAGTACTATTCCCATGAACAGTGAATGCCCACAAAGTGTACCTCAAGCGACGCGCTCTTGGCGCTGTCTCTGCCCTGACCATCAATTCTGCCTCAGCGACAGACAGGCCGTGCTCTGACTCGGCTTCCGTGCCGAGTCGA